AATGGCAGTCTTTGAATGCCATATTACTATTTGAACTTTATTCTCTAGTTTGTGGGGAATTATCAAAGGTTTATAAGCAGGAATGTGACACATCCAGAATTGTGCTTTAAAAAAGAAAATCACCTTTTTTTTTTTCTTGGAGAGTCTTACTCTGTCATCCAGGCTGGAGTGCAATGATGCCATCTCAGCTCACTGCAACCTCTGCTTTCCAAGTTCAAGCAATTCTCCTGCCTCAGCTTCCCAAGTAGCTGGGATTGCAGACAGGTGCCACCACGCCTGGCTGATTTTTATTTTATAGTATTTTATTTTATTTTTGAGACTGAGTTTCACTCTTGTTGCCCTGGCTGGAGTGCAATGGTGTGATCTTAGCTCACTGCAACCTCCACCTCCGAGGTTCAAGTGATTCTCCTGCCTCAGGCTTCCAAGTACCTGGGATTACAGGCATGCACCACCACACCCGGCTAATTTTGTATTTTTAGTAGAGAAGGGGTTTCTCCATGTTGGTCAAGCTGGTCTCAAACTCCTGACCTCAGGTGATCTGCCTGCCTCAGCCTCCCAAAGTAGTGGGATTACAGGTGTGAGCCAACACGCCCAGCCTTGCCTGGCTAATTTTTGTGTTTTTAGTAGAGACGGGGCTCACATCTGTAATCCCAGCACTTTAGGAAGCCAAGGAAGGTGGATCACGAGGTAAGGAGTTCAAGACCATCCTAGACAAAAATCACTTTTTATAGAATGGATGGGAGACAAGAACACCAATTAGAAGCCTATTGTAGTAGTTCAAGTGAAAGGTAATAAGACACATAGTGGAAATAAATAGGAAGATATATATTTGAGAGCCAGTATGAAGACAGGCTCACCATGACTTGGTTTTTTAAAAACTGTAGGGGCTAAAAGAAAGGGAAATAGACAAAGATACCAAGCCAAGATGTTTGGGAAGATCTTGACATAATTAACAGAAAATCACAAGGAGGGAAGAAGCAGGTTTGGGAGTATAGGCAGACCTTGGAGATATTCCAAGTTTAGTTCCAGACGGAACCATAAGAAAGTGATATCTTCATAAAGCAAATTGCTCCAAATTTTTGGTTTCTCAGTGCATAAAAAAGTTATGTGTTTACACTATACTGTAGTCTATTAATTATGTATTATTTCTTTTAAAAAGAGTACATGCCTTAATTTAAAATACTTTTTTTTTTTTTTTTTTTTTGAGACGTTGTCTTGCTCTGTTGCCTAGGCTCGAGTGCAGTGGTGATCTCAGCTCACTGCAACCTCTGCCTCCCAAGTTTAAGCAATTCTCCTGCCTCCGCCTCCTGAGTAGGTGGGACTACAGGCGCGTGCCACCATGCCCGGCTAGTTTTTTGTACTTTCAATAGAGACGGGGTTTCACTGTGTTAGCCAGGATGGTCTCAATCTCCTGACCTCATGATCCGCCCACCTCAGCCTCCTAAAGTGCCGAGATTACTGGCGTGAGCCACAGTACCCGGCCTTAATATAGTTTATTGCTAAAAATGCTAATGATCATCTAAGCCAAATCATAATCTTTCGTTGGTGAAGGATCTAGCCTTGATGTTGATGGCTGCTGACTGATCATGGTACTGGTTGCTAAAGGCTGGAGTGGCTGTGGCAATTTTTTTTTCTTTTATTTTTTTTGAGAGGGAGTCTCACTCTGTCACCTAGGCTGGAGTGCAGTGGCATGATCTCGGCTCACTGCAACCTCCAGCCCCCAGGTTCAAGCAATTCTCCTGCCTCAACCTCCTGAGTAGCTGAGATTACAGTCATGTGCCACCACGCCCAGCTAATTTTTTTATTTTTAATTTTTAGTTGAGATGGGGTTTCACCATGTTGGCCAGGCTGGTCTCAAACTCCTGACCTCAGGTGATCCACATGTCTCGGCCTCCCAAAGTGCTGGGATTACAGGTGTAAGCCACCGCACCCAGCGGGCAATTTCTTAAAATAAGACAACAATGAAGTTGTTTTGATTCTTCCTTTCATTATATTGATTGATTCTTCTTTTCATGAAAGACTTCTCTGTAGCATGCAATGCTGTTTGACCGCATTTTACGCACAGTAGAACTTCTTTCAAAGTTGAAGCCAATCCTCTCAAACCCTGCCACTGCTTTTTCAACTAAGTTTATGTAATATTCTAAATCCTTTGTTGTCATTTCAGCAACGTTCACAGCATCTTCACCAGGAGTAGATTCCATCTCAAGAAATCACTTTCTTTGCTTATTCATAAGAAGCAACTCTTCATCCATACAGACTGCAGCAATTCCGTCACATCTTCAGGCTCCACTTCCAATTCTAGTTCTCTTGCTACTTCCACAGCATCTGCAATTATTTCTTCCATGAAGTCTTGAGCCCCTCAAACACATCCAAGAGGATTGAGATTAACTTCTTCCAAACTCCTGTTATTATTGATATTCTAACCTCCTCCCATAAGTCACAAATGTTTTTTTTTTTAATTTCTTCATTAAATATACTTTTACTTTTTTTTTTTTTTTTTTTTTTTTTGAGACATGGTCTTGCTCTGTCACCCAGGCTGAAGTGCAGTGACACAATTTTGGCTCACTTCAAACTCGGTCTCCCAGGCTCAAGCAATCTTCCCACCTCAGTCTCCCAAGTAGCAGGTGCATACCACCACACCTGGCTAGTTTTTGTATTTTGTGTGTGTGTAGAGACAAGGTTTTTCAATGTTTTCCAGGCTTGTCACACACTCCTTAAGTGAGCCACCCACATCGGCCTTCCAAAGTGCTGGGTTTACAGGTGTGAGCCACCTCACCAGGCCAAGTCACACATGTTCTTAAGGACATCTAGAATAGAAGGTTTTCAATTTACTTTGCACAGATCCATCAGAGAAATCACTATCTCTGGCAGCTATAGCCTTATGAAATATATTTCTTTTTGTGTGTGTGAGAGAGATGGAGTTTCACTCTTGTTACCCAGGCTGGAGTGCAATGGCGTGATCTCGGCTCACCACAACCTCTTCCTCCCCGGTTCCAGCAATTCTCCTGCCTCAGCCTCCCGAGTAGCTGGGATTACAGGCATGCGACACCACACCTGGCTAATTTTGTATTTTTAGTAGAGAGGGGGTTTCTCCATGTTGGTCAGGCTGGTCTCAAACTCCGGATCTCAGGTGATCTGCCTGCCTCAGCCTCTCAAGGTGCTGGGATTATAGGCATGAGCCACCGCGCCTGGCTATCTAGCATAATTGTTAAGGGCTCTAGGATTTGGGGGAGGTAAATGAACACTGGCTTCAACTTAGAGTCACCAGCTGCATTAGCCCCCCTGACTCTAAGAACATGAGAGTCAGTTTGTTCTTAGAAGCTGCGAAGCCAGGCATTGACTTCTCTCTAGCTATGAAAGTACTAGCATCTTCTTCCAATGAAAGGCTGTTTCATATACATTGAAAGTCTGTTGTTTAGTGTAGCAACCTTAATCAATTACCTTAGTTAGGTCTTCCGAATAACTTGCTGCAGCATCTACAGCAGCACTTGCTGCTTCAGCTTGCACTTTTAAGTTATGGAAATAGCTCCTTCCCTTAAACCTCACTAGCTTCCACCTTTTTTTCTGCAGCTGCCTCACCTGTCTCAACCTTCTCCTTATTGAAGAGTTAGGGCTCCACATTAGGTTTTGACTTGAGGGAATGTTGTGGCTGGTTTGATCTTCTATCCAGATCACTCAAACTTTCTCTATATCAACAATATCTGTTTCACTTTCTTATCATTTGTGTATATAGTGGAGTAGCACTTTTAATTTCTTTCAAAAACTTTTCCTTTGCATTCACAACTTAGCTGTTTGGTGCAAGAAGACTGGCTTTCATGCTGTCTCGGCTTTCAACATGCCTTCTTCACTGAGCTTAATCATTTTCAGCTTTTTATTTAAAGTGAGAGATGTGTGACTCTTCCTTCCACTTGAACCCCACTGTAGGGTTGCTAATGGTCTAATTTAAATATTGTTGTATCACAGGAATAAGGAGGCAGGAAGAGAAGGAGAAAAGAAGGGAGACTGCCGGTCTGTGGAGCAGTCAAAACATCCATAACATTTATGAATTAAGTTTGCCATCTTATATGGGCACGGTTCATGGTGCTTCTAAACAATTGCAATAGTAATAAAAAGATAACAGATCAGCATAACATATACGATAATTATGAAAAAGTTTGAAATAGTGTGAAAATTACCCAAATGTGGCACAGAGACACATAGTAAGCATGTGCTGTAGGAAAAATGGCGCAGACAGATTTGGTTCTATGCAGTGGCCACAAACCTTCCATTTGTAAAAACAGTTATCTGTGAAACGCAATAAAGGAAAGCAAGCCTGTAGCAGATGCACGTTTCATTTAGACATCCTTAGGACTCATCATACTAGTGAAGGGCCCCAGCTTTTCCATACTAGTAGCTGCAATTCTGAGACGAAAGTGCCTCTTCCCCGACCTTTACACCTTCCTTTCCAGAAAGATGAGACCATAATGGATTTTGAACTTACTTTGATGATTAAAGCCCATTGTTTTACATGTCTCCGGAAAAGGAAGCAGTGTCTGCTATGGAACAAACAGTACAATTTGAATACATAATCCCCTGACCGTAGAAACTGAACCTCAGGTCCTATCCTGGCTCTAGACCACCAGGTCACGGAAGAAGAAATTTTTCTTAGAATCGTTATCTTCTTGACAAGCTTGGAAATTACAACCTATATGCACTATGAACACGGAAGTACCTGAGCTCAAAGCAGTTGAGCAACCCTAAGTGGGGGTGACCAGAAGTGGTGCCTTCTGACCCCAAACATCACACTACCCGTACCTGGAGGAGCGGGTTGCAGCCCAGCTACATCGCCGCCCGGCGGAGCGGCGAGCAGAAAAAAAACTACACTTCCCAGCGACCACTGCGCGGCTAGGAACACCGCGAGGAGGGGCGAGATGGGGTTGGCCTCTGTGTGAAGGCCCTTCCCATTGGTGCGTGTTCTAAAGGGCCGTGTAAGCTGCTGCGCGATTGGACAGATTCAGGAACGTTCAGTGGCGCCGCGACGCTCCTTGGTTTGACTTTTATTTTTCAGTTGAGTTCCCTGACTCGGAGACTTAAGCGTGTCGTGAGTATAGAGTTTCGAGTTTGGGGTGAAGGGATTAGGGAAGAGGTCTTGGGAAGAAAATCTGATGAGGGAGAAATAACTGCGGAAGCAGTGCAGAGGAGAGGGACGTGGGCCTGGAATTTGGGGTCTGTGGAGGTGCTGGGGACAGGGAGAGGAAAGTTCGAATCTGCAAAGGGAGAGACCTCGCGAGTGCTGGAGGGTTGGGACCTGGAGCAGTGAGGGAGTCGAGAATGGGATGAATTGGAAAAAGGAGTACAAGATTCGGACGTCCTGGAGGTGGGTTCCTGTATACGTTCACCCCACGCTGGTCTAAGCTTCAATTATCCTCATTTGTAAAATAAGGGATAATAAAAATACTTAACAGTTGTGGGAATAAATCAAATAAATTCCACAGGTTGTTACATGGCTAAAAGAAAAAAATTCAAAGTGCTACACAAATGTTAATTGTTAATAGACAAGCTATAAGAGTGTACCTAAGCAAGGATATCAGAGATAGGTGCATAGAAGCTAGCTGAAACCCGTTAATTTACCTATAAACAAGGGCATTGTTTTGGGAGAGGCAATGAAGAGTAACACGGTTTCTATCTGCAGGGAATGTATGCCATCCTGGGAGAAAAGATAGCAATAAAGAACTCTCATATGTTTAATTGTAGAGAATTTCAAAGGCAGTTCTTTTGCAGGTAGATCATTTTTGCTAAATCATTTTGAATGGAGAGACTCAGGAAAGAGATGAAAGAGGTGGTATTTAAGATGAGTTTTCATGTACAGACTAGATTTTGTTAACTGAGATTATGCGGGTTGTTGAGAGAGCTGTGTTCCAGCTAGAGGGAAGCTCATAAACAAAGGTATAGAGGCGGTGACGTTATCTGGAAACGGTACATTTAGGGGAGTAGAGGGAAATAAGGGGGGAAAGATAGGTTTGACCCTTATTCAGAAAGCCATGAATTTTAGGCTAACAAGTTTGATTTAATGCTTTAGGCTATGAGGTGTTACTGATGAATTTTATTAAAGAAAATGGTCCAGGAGAGGAAAGGAGTAGGTTGAACCATAAGCTGTTGTAGTGATGTGGGTAGGAAGTATTGAGATTCTGAATTAACATGGTCATTTTGCAGATAAAATATATAAGATATTCATATGGTCAGGAGGTTCAGGAGAATGAGTAATCAAATGACGAATTTAAGTTGCCAGCTCCAGGTTGCTTGGAAACGCTGAATTAGTAACTAAAATAGGAACATAGAAGGGGCACATTTGGATGAAAAAGATGATGTGTTAGCTTTGAGGTGCTAAAAAGAAAACTGAGTGATTTCTTTTTTAAGTTAAACATTTCATGCACTAGTGAGACTATAGGTGAAAATATCCAGTATGTTTTTGTTAATTCAAATTAAGAGCTTGAAAAAGATGGCATTTATTTATTCAACATGTAATTGTTGCTTACTCTAGTGTTTTAGATGATAGAATTAATAGGCCAGCAAGGTGTAAGTAATCCCAGCACTTTGGGAGGCTGAGGCGGGCAGATTATGAGGTCAGGAGTTAGAGATCAGTTTGGCCAACATGGTGAAACCCTGTCTCTACTAAAAAAAAAAAAAAAAAATACAAAAATTAGCCGGGCATAGTAGCATGTGCTTGTAGTCCCAGCTACTTGGGAGAGTGAGGCAGAAATTGCTTGAACCCTGGAAGGGGAGGTTGCAGTGAGCCCAGGAGCCATTGCACTCCAGCCTCGGCGACAGAGCGAGACTCCGTCTCAAAAAAAAAAAAAAGTGATAGTCATAAAAACAGGAGAAATAATGATGTTCCCAAATAAATGGTTAGAGGAAATGGTAAAGTTGAAGACAGAACCTTTTGAACAAGAGAGTAAACTGTCAATAATAGTCCGCCTTTATTGAGTGCATATATATGTGTCAAACACTGTCACTTGGCTCTATATTCATTACATCATTTAATACACCAACCTATGACACAGAAGTAACTTGCCTGAGGTACACCACTAATAAGAGGCAGGGCTTTGACTCAATCCCTAGTCTGATTTCAGAGCCCACTGTCTCAACTACAAAGCAATATTTATTATTATTATTATTATTTTCAGAAAAGGTTTCACTCTGTTGCCCAGGCTGGAGACCAGTGGGGCAATCTCAGCCCAGTGTAGCCTCTGCCTCCCAAGCTCAAGCAGTCCTCCTGCCTCAGACTCCTGAATAGCTGACGCTACAGGCACATGCCACCACACCTAGCTAATACTGTAATTTTTGTAGAGACAGGGTTTCACCATGTTGCCCAGGCTGCTCTTGAACTCCTGACCTCTAGCGATCCACTCACATTGACCTCCCAAAGTACTGAGATTATAGGCATAAGCCACCGTACCCAGCCTATTTTAATTTTTTTTGAGAAGGGACTTGCTCTGTTGTCCAGGTTAGACTGCAGTGGCACAATCACTGCTCACTGCAGCCTCGAACCCCCAAGCTGAAGTGACCCTCACACCAAGCAGCTGGGGCTACAGACGTGCCACAGTGCCCCGCTAATTTTTAAATTTTTTGTAGAGATGGGTTCTTGCCATGTTACCCAGGCTTAACTCCTGGGCTAAAGCAATCTGCTGGCCTTGGCCTCCCAAAGTGTTGGAATTACAAATGTGAGCCACCATGCCCAGCCAAAGCAATGTATTTTTTTTTTTTTTTTTTTTTTTTGAGACGGAGTTTCACTCTTGTTACCCAGGCTGGAGTGCAATGGCGCGATCTCGGCTCACCGCAACCTCCGCCTCCCGGGTTCAGGCAATTCTCCTGCCCCAGTCTCCTGAGTCGCTGGGATTACAGGCACGCGCCACCATGCCCAGCTAATTTTTTTTTGTATTTTTAGTAGAGACGGGGTTTCACCATGTTGACCAGGATGGTCTCGATCTCTTGACCTCGTGATCCACCCGCCTTGGCCTCCCACAGTGCTGGGATTACAGGCTTGAGCCACCGCGCCCGGCCTAGCAATGTATTTTTAAAGGGTAGTTGGCACTACCAGGCACAGTGACTCATGCCTGTAATCCCAACACTTTGGGAGGCAGAGGCCGGTTAGATCATCTGATGTCAGGAGTTCGAGACCAGCCTGGCCAACATACCGAAACCCGGTCTTTACTAAAAGTACAAAAAATTAGCCAGCTGTGGTGGCAGGCGCCTGTAATCCCAGCTGAGTCAGGAGAATCACTTGAACCCGGGAGGTGGAGGTTGCAGTGAGCCAAGATCATGCCACTGAACTCTAGTCTGGGTGACAGAGTAAGACTCCATCTCAATAAATAAATAAATAAATAAATTAATTAATAAAGGGTAGTTGGCACTATTGAATTAACCATACAAGTGAAGGAGTAACTGTCGGATGAAGGAGGATAGAAACAGAAAAGAGCAATTGAATTTATTAAGCTGGATCTGCTGACCAATAAGAGTTTGGTTAGATGTCATAGTAGAAGCGCGAGGCCTGGCTCAGTGGCTCATACCTGTAATCTCAGCACTTTGGAAGGCCGAGACAGGAGGATTGTTTGAGTCCAGGAGTTCAAGGCCAGCCTAGGCAACATAGCAAGACCCGGTCTTGCAGCCAGAGAGGTGGGCGTAGACACCTTTATTTGTGGACGTGTGCAATAGTGAGGACAGTCACTATGAAGTAGAAGAGGGCTGCAGGTTGTTAGAAGACTCTTCTTAAAGTTTCAAATTACTCTTTTTTTTTTTTTTGAGACAGAGTCTTGCTCTGTCGCCCAGGCTGGAGTGCAGTGGTGCGATCTTGGCTCACTGCAACCTCTGCTTCCTGGTTTCTTGCAGTTCTCCTGCCTCAGGCTCCCGAGTAGCTGGGACTACAGGTGCACACCACCACGCCTGGCTAATTTTTTTGTATTTTAGTAGAGACGGGGTTTCACTGTGTTACCCAGGCTGGTCTTGAACTCCTGAGCTCAGGCAATCTGCCCACCTCAGCCTCCCAAAGTGCTGGGATTACAGGCGTGAGCCACTGCACCTGGCCTCAAATTAGTTTTTATTTTTTTTTTTTTTTTGAGACGGAGTTTCACTCTTGTTACCCAGGCTGGAGTGCAATGGCGCGATCTCGGCTCACCGCAACCTCCGCCTCCTGGGTTCAGGCAATTCTCCTGCCTCAGCCTCCTGAGTAGCTGGGGTTACAGGCACACACCACCATGCCCAGCTAATTTTTTGTATTTTTAGTAGAGACGGGGTTTCACCATGTTGACCAGGAGGGTCTCGATCTCTTGACCTCATGATCCACCCGCCTCAGCCTCCCAAAGTGCTGGGATTACAGGCTTGAGCCACCGCGCCCGGCTTTCAAATTAGTTTTAAATGGTTTTGGCACAGTGAAATTTAGCTTTAAATTGTCATCCATATCCATACAATGGAATTTTATTCAACCGCAAAAAGAGATGAAGTACTGATACATGGTGCAACATAGTTGAACCTTCAAAACATTATGCTAAGTGAAAGAAGCCAGTCACAAAAGACCATATACTAAATGATTCCATTTATAGGAAAGTCCAGAAATATCTGTGAATATACTAAAAATCATTGAATTGTATAAATTCACTCATTTGAATGAATTTAATGGCATATACAAATTAAATTTCCATAAAGCTATTTTAAAAAAAATATGTTACCCATAATCCTACCATGCCAATCCAATAATTTTTATTTTCTAGGATATTTAGACGAGGCAAATTGGCCCAATCTGGAGAAGTATTTTGGAAGGAGGTGGGTTTGGAGGAGGAGAGTAATCATTTTAAAGGAGAGAATTAGAAGAATAAAGATGGCATATTTGAAGGGTTGGCTGTAGAAGAAAGCAAATGGGATGAGAGAACCAGAAACAGATTTTTTAGCTAGATTCAGTAGACTGGCCAGCAGAAGAAAAGGATGTTTAATAGTCTTTCAGATTCATATTGAGAATTAATGTGTGTGTGTGTGTGTGTGTGTGTATGTGTGTGTCATGTGTGTGTTCAGTAAATATTTATTAAGTACTTATGAGCCAGGCACTATTTAAGTTACTAGGAATACAGCAATAAACAACATAATAGACAAAAACCCCTGCCGTTAGTGAGTTTGCATATTACAGTGTGGAGAGACAGACATTAAATATTAGATAGATGGTTATAAGTGTTTGACCTTTTTTCTTCTCTCTGTCACCCAAGCTGGACTGCAATGGCATGCTTATGGCTCACTGCAGCCTTGGCCTCCCAGTGCAGGTGATCCTCCTGCCATAGCCTCCCATTTAACTGGACTACAGGCACATTCCACCACATCTGGCTAATTTTCTGTAGAAACAGGGTTTTGCCATGTTGCCCGGGCTGGCCTCAAACTCCTGGACTCAAGCAGTCTTATCTGCCGTGGCCTCTCAAAGTGCTGAGATTACAGGAGTGAGCCACTTCACCCAGCCAAGGTTATAAATGTTATGGAGAAAAGTAAAGCAGAGAAGATGGATGAGGGTGGTGGAGTGGTCAGAAAAGACTTCATCAAGGAAGTGACATTTTAGCTCTGAAGGAGGAGAAGGGAGTAAGCCACATAGATAAATGAGGAAAGAACATCATAGCAAAGAGAACTACACGGGTATAGGGACTCTGAAGTAGAAGCGTGCCTGTGTTTGAAGAACAGCAAAGAAGCCAGTGTTTTTGCAGCAGTGAACAAGAAGAGTAGTAGGTGAGGTCACAGAAGTAATGGGGTTGGCCAGATCACATAGGACCTTGTAGCCAATTTTAAAGACCTTGACGTTCTGAGTAAGATGAAAGGCATTGGAGGCTTTTGAGCAGGGCAGTTTTGTGCTTTGATACATATATTAATGTGTTGAGAATATACTGTAAGGGATGAGGTTGAAAGTGGAATGGGGGCAGAATGTGGTGACTCACGCCTATAATCCCAGCACTTTGGGAGACCAAGGTGGGTGAATTACCTGAGGTCAGGAGTTCAAGACCAGCCTAACCAATATGGTGAAACCCCATCTCTACTAAAAATACAAAAATTACTGGGGCTTGGTGGCCTGTGCCTGTAATCCCAGCTACTCCAGAGGGAGGCTGAAGCAGGAGAATCACTTGAACCCCGGGGGGGTGGAGGTGGCAGTGAGCCAAGATTGCACCATTGGACTCCAACGTGGGTGACAGAGCAAGACCCTGTATATAAAAAAAAAAAAAAAAAGCAAAAAACGGCTGAACCAGGGCAATGAGGGCATAGGTGATAAGTAGTTGTCAGATACTAGATGTTTTGATGTGCTAGCTAGCAGGATTTGCTAATGGGTGTGTGTGACATGGAAGACAAAGAGAGGAGTAAAATTTCTCCAGCCATGTGTGTTTGTTTGTCATAAACAACTGGCAGCATAGAATTAGTATTTACTGGAATGTAGAATTCTAAGAGAAGAGCAAGTTTTGGTGGTGGGAGGTAGGTATCAGGAGCTCAGTTTTACACTTGGCAAGCTTGGGAAACCTGCTAGACATCCACGTGGAAAGACGGAGTAGGCAGTTAGGTGTGTGAGTCCAGAGCAGAGGGCAGAGTAAGGACTGAGGCATCAATTTGAAAACCATTAATGTGTATATGCTATTTAAAGCCGCGAGACTTCAGGAGATCACCAAAGCAATGAGTAATGACCGGTAAGGAAAGGGAAGAGGTTCCCTGGAAGCCAAACAAAGAAAACTTTGAAGGCATCAGGGAGAGAGGCACTGTGGGGTTCTGAGCAGGAAAATGTTGTATGGAAGTAACAATGGCAATGATCTCTTTTGATACTTTTTCACAAAATTCTTTCCCAAAGGACTGAAGATTTTAAGCAGATTATACCAGGTAGAAGAACATAACGGAACATCATCTGACTTGCTTAGAATCAGAAGTGAGTGACAGAGCATGCTTGATAAGAAAGCTTTCACCAAAGCAGTAAAAAATCATCCTCTCTTCCCCTCTCCGCCCCCCGTCCCCTGTCAGTCATGTAACATGGTATGATATTCCCTTTCTAGCCGTGAGGTTTATATTCCTGAAAATTTCTTTTTTTTTTTTTTAATTTATTTATTTTACTTCAGGTACATACTAAATCTGGCATTTCTCCCCATGTTATCCCTCCCCACGAAAATTTCTATAATAAGGTCGTTTAAAGTACAGGAGCTCAAGATCTTGCATTATGAACTGAGATGGAGATTGTGAAGAGACTTTTAAAGTTTATATGTAATTTTTTTTCTTTTGCTCAAGATGCTAGAGAAAGCATGTGAAATAAAGATAACATCAATGGCTTTGTATTTGTTTTAAATTCGATATAGTGGGTACTCTACCTTAATTTCCATTTACTACTTCCTTCTTTGGAGAGGGGAGTGGAGCAGGGTAAGTCAATATGTTGCTGAGGCTGGCCTCGAACCCCGGGGCTCAAATGATCCTCCCTCCTCAGCCTCATGAGTAGCAGGGACTATAGGTGTGGACCACTGCACCTGACTGTATGTACTGTTTCTTGCTTATTAGAGACTTCTCTGCATCTCCCTCTCCTATCCTATAACTTCGAGGAAAAGATTGGATTTGTTTTTCATTGTTGCAGATAACAGGGAGACCTTTTTTCCTTTGTATGCTTATCCATTTAAATATTTAATACCATTCTGATTTTTATTTGAAAATAATTATGAGGAGTACCTTTTGAAAATTCAAAAGGCATGAATTTCAGGATTTGGAGACACTTTAAAGAAAACTACATTTTAAAACATTAAGTTCTTTCCAAGATGCAAATATGATGATGCTGAAGAGGGAAATAGTCTATACATCCTGTACTGTTTTTATTTTTCTGTTCTTGGCCCCTCATTATGAATTTTTGTGTATTTGATAGGTGTGAAAAAGACAGCATGAACTTTACCCCAACACACACCCCTGTCTGCAGAAAGTAAGACATTTGCTTGTTTTCAACTTGTTAAAGTAAGAAATCAAGACTTGTATAGCCTTAGTCTTAGTTAGCATAGGAACTGGAAAGGTATTGGAAACATACTTCCTAACTTTTTTTTTTTTTCTTTTTCTTTTTTTTTTTTTGAGACAGAGTCTCACTCTGTTGCCCAGGTTGGAGTGCAGTGGTGCAATCATAGCTCATTGCAGCCTTGACCTCCTGGGCTCAAGCAATCCTCCTGCCTCAGCTTCCCAAAGTGTTGGGATTACAGGCATAAGCCACTGCTCCCAGCCTGAGACAACCCCTTTTAGAAAATATGAAATGTTGGCTGGGCGCAGTGGCTCACACCTATAATCCCTGTACTTTTGGGAGGTCAAGATGGGTGGATCACTTTAGGTCAAGAGTTCAAGACCAGCCTGGCCAACATGGTGAAACCCTACATCTACTAAAAATACAAAAATTAGCCAGGCGTGGTGGCAGGCACCTATAATCTAAGCTGCTCGGGAGGCTGAGGCAGGAGAATCACTTAAACCCAGGAGGTGAAAGTTGCAATGAGCCTAGATCGTGCCACTGCACTCAGCCTGGGTGACAGAGCAAGACTTCATCTCAAAAAAAAAAAAAAAATATGAACTGTTAAGTAGGCTGAGCACTGTGGCTCACACCTGTAATCCCAGCACTTTGAGAGGCTGAGGCAGGCAGATCACAGGGTCAGGTGTTTGAGATTAGCCAGCATGGTGAAACCCCGTCTCTACCAAAAAAATACAAAAATTAGCCAGGCATGGTGGCGTGCGCCTGAAATCCCAGCTATTCGGAAGGCTGAGGCAGGAGAATTGCTTAAACTCAGGAGGCAGAGGTTGCAGAGCTGAGATCACACCATTGCACTCCAGCCTGGGCAATAGAGCAAGACTCCATCACACAAAAAAAAAAAAAAAAAAAAATTAAGTAAGATAGTATTTCTCTCACAAGTTTTTAACGATTAGGAAGATATCTAAGGTTTTCTTCATACAAGTTGACAAATTTTAATATCTTCATGCTTATTTATTAGAAGAAAGCACATGTATTAACTACAACTCAGAGCTTCTGGTATAGTTTCTTCACTCTGCTGTCTGTTTTGTTATGTTGTAAATTGCAGACAACCAAGCTGGATTTATTTTCACATGAGGGTTACTCTTCTTCTGTACTATTTGTTTTCTCACTTCCATTGTTTTAGCTCATGTCTTGTTTGCTAGAAGCAAACAAACAAAAATTTCATGACCACCCTTTTTTTTTTTTGAGACATAGTTTTGCTCTTGTTGCCCAGGCTGGAGTGCAGTGGCATGATCTCGCCTCAACCTCCAACTCCCAGGTTCAGGCGATTCTCCTGCCTCAGCCTCCTGAGTAGCTGTGACTACAGGCGCATGCCATCACACCCGGCTAATTTTTGTATTTTTGGTAGAGATGGGGTTTCACCATGTTAGTCAGGCTGGTTTCAAACTCCTGACCTCATGATCTGCCCACTTTGGCCTCCCAAAATGCTGGGATTACAAGCATGAGACACCATGCATGGCCTTTTTTTTTTTTTTTTTTTTTTGAGGTGGAGTTTCACTCTTGTTGTCCATGCTGGAGTGTAATTGCGCAATCTTGGCCCACTGCAACCTCCACCTCCCAGGTTCAAGCGATTCTCCTGCCTCAGCTTCCCAAGTAGCTGAGATTACAGGCGTGCACCACCACACCTGCCTCCTTTTTATACTTTTAGCAGAGATGGGGTTTCACCATGTTGGTCAGGCTAGTCTCAAACTCCTGATCTCAGGCCATCCACCTGCCTTAGCCTCCCAAAGTGCTGGGATTACAGGCATGAGCCACTGCGTGTGGCCTGCAATTTGCCTTTTTTTGTTTTTTCTTTGTTTTGTTTTTTGAGAGAGCCTTGCTCTGTCACCCAAGCTGGAGTGCAGTGGTGCAATCTCGGCTCACTGCAACCTCTGCCTCCTGGGTTCAAGCAACTCTCCTGCCTCAGCCTCCCAAGTAGCTGGGATTACAGGTATGCACCATCACGCCCAGCTAATTTTTGTATTTTTAGTAGAGACTGGGTTTCACTCTGTTGGCCAGGCTGGTCTTGAACTCCTGACCTCAAGTAATCTGCCTGCCTTGACCTCCCAAACTGGTGGGATTACAAGCATGAGCCACTGTGCCTGGCCTGCAGTGTGTCTTATAGTACTGCATTTTCTAATTGTTACTACATGGTCTCATTTAGTTTATATTCTTTTTTTTTTGAGACAGAGTCTTGTTCTGTCGCGAGGCTGAAGTGCCGGGCGTGATCTTGGCTCACTGCAACCTCTGCTCCAGGGTTCAAGCGATTCTTCTGCCTCAGCCTCCAACAGGGATTACAGGCACACGCCACCGTGCTCGGCTAGTTTTTGTATTTTTAGTAGAGACAGGGTTTCACCATGTTGACCAGGCTGGTCTCAAACTCCTGACCTCATGATCCGTCCACCTCGGCCTCCCATAGTGTGGGGATTACAGGTGTGAGCCACCACACCCGGCCTATATTCTATTTTTTAAAATTATTTCTTTAGTCTCTAATGTATTTTACTTTTACTTTTTTAGAGACAGGTTCTTGCTGTGTTGCCCAGGGTGGACTGGAACTCCTGGGCTCAAGCAGTTCTCCCACCTCAGCCCTCTGAGTAGTTGGGACTGCTCAGCTACTCAGCTGTGCCACCATTCCTGGTTCTAACTTGTATTTTGAATTTAGCTTTAAACCAGTAGTACTTGGAAGATAATTAATAAAATTATTTACTATCCTGTAATATCAAACTTTCAAGATTTTTTTTTTTTTTTTTTTTAAATAGAGACAAGGTTTCACTGTATTTCTCAGGCTGGTCTTGGACTCCTGGGCTCAAGTGATTCTCCCACCTTGGCCTCCTAAAGTGCTGGGATTACAGGCATGAGCCACTATGCCTGGCCAAACTTTCAAATTTATGAGCACCTTAATTATAAGCACTTTAGGAACACAGAACCCCCTTTTATTTAGAAAGTTATAAACTTTCAGGGAGTATGATAAATATTTCCTTTCTAATTTCACTCAGGCGAACAGTTGTCTCCAAACGTGGTGTTGCCATCAGTGATTCCACCAAGAGGAGGGGAATGGCAGATTCACCGGAGTCAACCCCCTTGCCTTCCCTAGAAGATCGCCTGGCCAAACTCTGTCCGTCTAAGGAGCTCTTTGAATATTATCAAAAGAAGATGGCTGAGTGTGAGGCAGAAAATGAGGACTTATTGAAGAAACTGGAACTCTACAAAGAAACTTGTGAAGTACAGGTAAAGAGACAATGCACACGTTTTTGAACTCTGATGAAGTCTTCATTAATTAGAGATGCTATAGAGGTACCAGCTTGTATCATAAGCAGATGTTTTATAAAACTATTCCCTTTTTATTCCCCAGCCCAGCTACCTGCCTTTCAGGCCCTCCTTGGATCATAACCCCCAAAACTGCTCTTCTAAAATCTTAAATTCTGATATCTTTGTATTTCTTATACTTGTAATTCTTTCATCTTATACCTGACTAGTCCTTAACTTCTTTGTTACCTTCATAGCTTCCTGACTTTTCGGTTTTCTAAGTGCCATATACAGCTCTGACATCATGTCCTTCAAACCTAAACCCCATGATACTTTACTTTGGTAGTAACTGCACTGCCTGTAAATGACCCCTTGCTCAATTAATTCTTTTGCTCCACCTGTATAGCAAAAACGTAGCTGTGGGGTCATCCAGTTTTCTGCCACCTTTTCTCCTATAGCAGGATTTTTTGACCTCAGCATTATTGACATTTTGGCCTGAATGATTCTTTGTTGTGAGGGGTTGTCCTGTGCATGACAGGATGTTTAGCAGCATCCCTGGCCTCTACCCACTAGATGCCAGTAGCACAACACCCCCAGCTGCAACAATCAAGGCTTGGCATGGTGGCTCACGCCTGTAATCTCTACACTGTGGGAGGCCAAGGCGGGTGGATCACGAGGTCAAGAGATCGAGACCATCCTGGCCAACATGGTGAAACCCCGTCTCTACTAAAACTATAAAAATTAGCCTGGCGTGGTGGCATGCACCTGTAGTCCCAGCTACTCGGGAGGCTGAGGCGGAAGGATCACTTGAACCTGGGAGGCAGAGGTTGCAGTGAGCCGAGACTGCGCCACTGCACTCCAGCCTGACGACAGAGGAATACTCTGTCTCAAAAAAGAAAAAAAAAATTCTCCAGACATTGCCAGATATTTCTGGAATGGGTGTATGTATGTGCAAAGTCACTCCTGATTGAGAACACTATTGTAGAAAGGTCACAGAACAATCAGTATGTAAACAAATTCAGCAGTACCCTCAACCACTATATAACAGTTTTCTTACCTGTCCATACTGGGTTTCCTCTCCTTCCACATCTGTGTCATACCCTCACCTCCAGCCTGCAACCCCTTCTTAGTGCTCCTCTCTCAGCATCCTTCCTGCTCGTCTACACACAGTTAGTCCCTCCATATCCATCTTCTTTCCTTTCATTTTTCTTTGGTTGGTTTTTGTTTGTTTGGTTTTTTGCTTTTTGAGACAGGGTCTTGTCACCCAGGCTGGAGGACAGTGGCACAATCATGGCTCACTGCAGCCTTTAAATTCTGGGCGCAAGTGATCCTCCTGCACTCAGCCTCCTGAGCAGCTGGGACTACAGGCACACGCCACCATGCCCCGCTAATTTTTAAAAAATTTGTTGTAGAGGCTGGGCGCAGTGGCTCATGCCTGTAATCCCAGCACTTTGGGAGGCTGAGGTGGGCGCATCATGAGGTCAGGAGATTAGACCATCCTGGCTAACATGGTGAAACCCCGTCTCTACTAAAAATAGAAAAAAATTAGCCAGGCATGGTGGCAGGTGCCTGTGGTCCCAGCTACTCAGGAGGCTGATGCCAGAGAATCGCTTGAACCTGGGAGGCAGAGGTTGCAGTGAGCTGAGATCACGCCACTGCACTCCAGCCTGGGTGACAGATTGAAACCCTGTCTCAAAAAAAAGAAATGTGTTGTAGAGACGTGATCTCCCTGTGTTGCCCAGGCTGGTCTTGAACCCGTGGGCTCAAGCAATCCTCCCACCTCAGCCTAACAAGGTCCTGGGATTGCAGGTGTTAGCCACAGCACCGGACCTGTAGTCACCTTTCTGACCATCTTCTTATTGCTTCAGGAACAAGGCATCTTTGCCTGTTTGAGCTGGATTAATCCCATGCCTACTGTAGCCCTCATCCCTTTTTCCTCCTGAGAAACCCTGCTCCATCATTTTTCTCCACTTACTGTTGTATTTTTAACTTCTTTCGTGACGTTAGCTTTTTCTTCTCAGTATATAAACATACTCAAGTTTTTTCCAACTTAAGAGAAAAATTAAAAACTGTTCCTTCATTGTGCTTCTCTCTCTAGCTACTCTTTTTATATAAATGGCTCTTTCTTTTCCCAGTCACACTTCCACAATCATTTAACATTCCCATTCACTGAATGGGAAATTTCTCGACTGCAGTTTCGTCTCTGTCCTTGCCATGCCCCTAAAACTGTGCCTTCTGTGGTCTCCAGGTACCTCTTTGCCAAACTTATCTCTTCTTTTTTTGCCCTTTGCAGGGTTTGTCACTTTTGACCTCTCCTTTTCTAAAATTTTCTTCCTTTCTTGATTTCTGTGTCATTTTTCTTTCATGATTTCTATCTAACCTCTCTGGTCAGCTCATCTCCATGTCCATGAAGAACTCACCTTCCTTACTCAGAGTTCTTCCAGATTCGACTGTAAATGATCTTGTATATTACACTACTCCATATGTGATGATGACTATTAAATCACTAACCCTGACTCACTTTTCTCCTGAGCTTCCTTTCTGTACCCTCTTCCCCACCCACACATGTACTGCCACCATTTCACCTCCCTTCATTCCTCATTCCGTAACTTTTTCTTTATTTTTTGTCTTGGTAAGTGGCATCATTGCCTCCGGTTCTGCCAAGCCCCCTACACTGAAATCATTTGGCAAGTCCTATTGATACTGCTTTCTAAATATTACTTAATCCATTCCCACACCTACATCACTCTTGCCATGATGCTCATGCACCTCTAGAATTGCTTTTAAACTGAGACAATATCTTCCTTGCCAGTACCTGCTCTGGCCTCTTACATCCCCAGTTGGCCTCACACTTTTCACTTCAGCAGTACTGAAATATTTGTAGTTGTCCAAATTTATTAGGCTTTTTTTTGGACATTTACTTGTCATTTTTATCACATTATGTATGTATACAATGAACTACAATGTAGTTCATTCCATTTGGGCTCCTGAATAGCCTCAGGATGGGGGCTGGTTGCCAGATAACAGTGATGCAGCATCTCTAATATATTTACTGGGACTCGGGGTGAACCACCATGCCTAGCCTAATTTTTTTTTGCAGATTCTACAAAAAAAGTGTTTCCAACCTTGTAAGTTCCACTGTGGACCTGTATGCTGTCCCTTTCTCCAAATCAGTTGTTAATATTTACTTGTCATTTTTATCACGCTATGTATGTATCTGTGGACTTCTGGGTTTTTTGTTTTTTGAGTCAAGGTCTTGCTCTGTTGCCCAAGCAGGAGTACAGTGGTGCAGTCATAGCTCACTGCAGCCTCAAAGTCCTGGACTCAAGCAATCCTCCTGCCTCAGCCTCACAAGTAGCTGGGACTACAGGCGTGTACTACCATGCCAGCTATTTATTTATTTATTTACTTATTTACTTACTTATTTATTTAGAGACAGAGTCTAGCTCTGTCACCAGGGTGAAGTTCAGTGGTGCAATGTCAGCTTACTGCAACCTCCGCCTCCTAGATTCAAGCAATTCTCCTGCCTCAGCCTCCTAAGTAGCTGGGATTACAGGCACATGCTGCCACGCCCAGCTACTTTTTGTAGTTTTAGTAGAGACGGGTTTCACCTTATTGGCCGGGATGGTCTTAGTTTGTGACCTCGTGATCTGCCCACCTCGGCCTCCCAAAGTGCTGGGATTACAGGCGTGAACCACCACACCTGGCTTGCTTATTTAATTATTTATTTATTTTGAGACAAAGTGTTGCTCTTGTCACCCAAGCTGGAGTGCAATGGTGTGATGTCAGCGCACTGCAACCTCTGCCTACCGGGTTCAGGCAATTCTCCTGCCTCAGCCTCCTGAGTAGCTGGGATTATAGGTGCCCACCACCACACTGAGCCAATTTTTGTATTTTTAGTAGAGACTGGATTTCACCATGTCGGCCAGGCTGGTCTCCAACTCCTGACCTCAGATGGCCCACCTACCTTGGCCTCCCAAGGTGCTGGGATTACAGGTGTGAGCCACTGCGCCTGGCCCAGATTTTTAATTTTTTTGCAGAGACAGAATCTCACTCTATAGTCTAGGATGGTTGTGAACCCTTGGGCTCAAGCCATCCTCGTACCTTAACCTCCCAAAGTGTCGGGATTACAGGAGTGAGTCACTGTGCCCAGCCTTCTTTATAAAATTATTTTTAATGACCTTAATCAATTTTAAGTGTTCAGTTCAGTAATGTTAAAAGAGTGTGTGTGTGTGTGTGTGTGTGTATACACACACACATACACATATTTTTTTTTTTTTTGAGACTGAGTCTTGCTCTTTCACCCAGGCTAGAGTGCAGTAGTGGTGCAATCTCAGCTCACTGCAACCTCGGCCTCCTGGGTTTTAGTGATTCCTGTGCCTCAGCCTCCCAAGTAGCTGGAATTATAGGGTGTGCCACCACACCCAGCTGATTTTTGTTTTTTCAGTAGAGATGGGGTTTCATCATGTTGGCCAGGCTGGTCTTAAACTCCTGGCCTCAAGTGATCTGCCGTGCCTGGTGTGTTAAGTATATTCATGTTGTTGTGCAGCTGATCTCCAGAACCTTTTTCATCTTAAAAAACCAAAACTCCATCCCATTAAACAGATCCTCATTTCTCCCCACACCCTCTGTAACCACTATTTTACTTACTATTTCTATGGATTGGAAGTAGAGCAGTGTTTGCCAGGCACAGTGGCTCACACCTGTAATCCTAACACTTTGGGAGGCTGAGGTTGAGGGGGATCACCTGAGGTCGGGAGTTGGAGACCAGCCTGGCCAACGTGGTGAAACCCTGTCTCTGTTAAAAATACAAAAATTAGCTTGGCATGGTGGCACATACCTGTAGTCCCAGCTACTCGGGAGGCTAAGGCAGGAGAATCGCCCAGGAAGTGGAGGTTGCAGTGAACTGAGATTACACCACTGCATTCCAGCCTGGGCGACAGAGCAAGACTGTCTCAGAAAAAAAAAAAAGAAATAGAGCAGGATTTATCTAGAATAGAGCGAAATCATCTGTAGTTTTTCTTTTTGTGACTGGCTTACTTCACTTAGCATAACATCCTCAGGTTTTGTCCATGTTGTAGCATGTGACGAGATTTTCTTCCTTTCTAACAACATCAGGCTCTGTCATGGTTCTTATTTCCTGCTCTCTTAGAGTACCAACCGTCTGCTTATCCCTCTACAGTCTTCTGTTCCTCTGTCAAGTGTCAGCTCTTTGGTGGTAGTGCTTTGACTTCCCAAACAGATTTTCGAATTTTATTCCTTTCACACTTTCCCCCACACCATTCCACCGTGCATGCTTTCATTAAGTAGTTATTTTATTTTAATCATTTGGCTCTCTCCCATGAATTTCCTTAGCTCTGTAGACAGGAATCATATCTTTTCATCTTTGTTTTCCTACATGTAATAATAATGCTTATGATATAGGAAACATTACCAAAAAAGTGTGGAGGATAGGCCAGGTGTGGCTCGCACCTGTAATTATAGCACTTTGGGAGGCCAAGGTGAGTGGATTGCCTGAGCTCAGGAGTTCAAGCCAGCCTGACCAATGTGGCAAAACCCCATCTCTACTAAAAATACAAAAATTAGCTGGACGTGGTGGTGCACACCTATAATCTCAGCTACTTGGGAGGCTGAGGCAGAAGAATCACTTCAACCTGGGAGGCGGAGGTTGCAGTGAACTGAGATCATCCTACCACACTCCAGCCTGAGCGACAGAGCAAGACTCTTTGTCTAAAAAAAAAAAAAAGAAAAGAAAAAGTATAGATAGAATAGGTGAATCATATGGCATTCTGGATTCTATAGTCCATAAAAGGAAGATATGAGAGCTTTGATGTTAAGTGCAAACTTCACACCCATCCTGTAGCTTTTAAACGCCAGTCAAGGCCATGCACGATGGCTCATGCCTGTAATCCCAGCACTTTGGGAGGCCGAGGCGGGAGGATCACTTGAAGTCAGGAGCTTGAGACCAGCCTTGGCTAACATGGCGAAACCCCGTCTCTACTAAAAATACAAAAATTAGCTGGGCATGGTGGCATGCACCTGTAATTCCAGCTACTCGGGAGGCTGAGGCACAAGAATCACCTGGGAAGTGGAGGTTGCAGTGAGCTGAGATTGTGCCATTGCACTCCAGCCTGGGCAGCAGAGTGAGACTTGATATATATGTATATATGAATAAATAAACAAATAAGACTTGACCTCAACAAATAAATAAATAAACTCCAGTCTATATATACATGCCTATTGCTGTCATTTTGAATTCTGTATTGGTGAAATTATTTACTTTAGAATATTTCTACATTAATAGACTGCTCCCTGTCCCGTAAGTGATACTCCATTGAAACCCGGTATCTTTCAAGTATCTTACTGTGTTTTTTTGCAGCATAAACTTGAATGTGATTTACAGCAGAGAGAGGAAGAGATTGCTGAATTGCAGAAAGCTCTAAGTGATATGCAGGTCTGCCTCTTCCAAGAACGGGAACATGTTTTACGCCTCTACTCAGAAAATGACCGACTGAGAATCAGGTACCAAGTAGGAGAGGGGAAAGGTTGGAGTTATAACTTTAAATTACTTTCTTTATTTATTTTTGAGACAGCCTCACTCTGTTGCCGAGGGTAGAGTGCAGTGGCGCAATTTCGGCTCACTGCAGCCCCTGCCTCCTGGTTCAAGCGATTCTCATGCCTCAGCCTCTTGAGTAGCTGGGATTACAGGTGTGCACTGCAATGCCTAGCTAATTTTTGTATTTTTAGTAGACAAAGCGTTTTGCCCTGTCAGCCAGGCTGGTCTCCAACTCCTGGCCTCAAGTGATCCACCCATCTCAGCCTCCCAAAGTGCTGGGATTACAAGCGTGAGCCACCATGCCCTGCCCTTTAAATTACTTTTAAAAAGATAAATTTCTCCACATTAATTCTCTTAGGTTGTAATCCATAGGAAACAGACTCTAAGATGGAGATTTGCCTTCAGGGCAGTTATGGGAGAAGCTCTCTGTAATAATAGCCATGAGCAGATTTGGGCAGAGATAGAATAGAAACAGATACAATGGTAACAGAGGCCTTAGCCAACCCCATAGGGAGCACTAAGGATAGGGTGGCCTTTCGGTGGCAAAGGACTCAAACTTTTGTGTCCCCACATTGACTGGTCATAGGATGCAAGCTGTCCCCAGGAGGGTGTGTAGACTTGGGAGAGGAAGCCCCCTTGGGCCAAGTGAAATTTTTAGAGAAGAACTGAGCTCCTGGGAGATGAATATCTTGGTCCTGAGGGGAAATCTGAGCAGTACACTACACGTTGCACTATAGTACACTTCTGTGTGTGTGTGCTGGGAGTGGGGGGCGGGGGATAAATTATATGTAACGTAAAGTTTACCATTTTAGCCATCTGAAGTGTACAGTTCAGTGGCATTAAGTATGTTCACATTGTTGCACAACTGTCACCCCCATTCATTTCTAGAACATGTTCATATTCCTAAACTGAACTTGTGTACCCATTCAGCAGTAGCTCCTGCATCCCCGTTACCCCAGTCCCTGGGACACACACCATTCTACTTTTCATCTCTATGAATTTGACTATTCTAGGTACCTCATGTAAGTGGAGTCATACAGTATTTGTTACATCGGACTTATTTCACTTAGCATAATATCTTCAGAGTTCATCCATGTTGTAGCATCTGTCAGAATTTTCCTCGTTTTAAAGACTGAACAACATTCCATTATATGTATGTACCACATTTTGTTTATCCATTCACCCACCAGTGTATCTCAGCTCACTGCAACCTCTGCCTCCCGAACTCAAGCGATCTGCCCACCTTAGCCTCCTGAGTAGCTGGGACTACAGGTGCGCCAACATGCCTGGCTAATTTTTTCTGTAATTTTTATAGAAACACGGTTTTGCCATGTTACCCAGGCTAGTCTCCAACTCCCAAGCCCAAGTGATCTGCCTGCCTCAGCCTCCTAAAGTGCTGGGATTACAGGTGTATGCTACTGTGCCCGGTCGAAGCCTTGCTTTTAATTCTTTTGTGTATCTACCCAGAAGTAGATCTTATGATTTTTTTTTTTTTTTTTTTTTTTTTTTTTGAGTAACTGCCATACTATTTTCTATAGAGGCTATACTGTTTTATATTCCCATCAGCAGTGCACAGTGCACAAGAGTTTCAGTTACTCCACATCTTTGCCAATACCTGTTATTTTCTTTTTTTTTTTAAGCTTTTTTTTTTTTTTTTTTTAGACAGGGTCTTGCTCTGTCACCCAAACTGGAGCACAGAGGCATGATCTTGGCTCACTGCAGCCTTTTCCTCCCAGGCTCAGGTGATCCTCACAGTTCAGCCTCCAAGTAGCTGGGACTGTATGCATGTACCACCATGCCCAGCTAATTTTATATATGTATATATTTTTTTGTAGAGATGGGGTTTTACCATGTTTTCCAAACTGATCTCAAATTCCTGAGCTCAAGCAATCTTCCTGCCTCAGCCTCTGAAAGTGCTGGGATTGTAGGCATGAGCCACTGTGCCCAGCCAACACTGGTTATTTTCTGGGGTTTTTTTTTGGAGATCGGGTCTTGCTTAGTCACCCAGGCTGGAGTGCAATGGCAGGACCACAGCTCACAGCAGCCTTGACCTCCCAGACTCAGATGATCCTCCCACCTCAGCCTCCCAATTAGTTTGGGGCCACAAGTGTGCACCACTGTGCTTGGCTAATTTTTGAAGAGATGAGGTTTCACAATGTTGCCCAGGCTGGTCTCAAACTCCTGAGCTGAAACGATTTGCCCACCTTGGCCTCCCAAAGTGTTAGGATTACAGGTGTGAGCCACTGTGCCCAGCCTTATTTTCTGTTTATTTGATAGTAACCATCTTAATGGGTGTGAGGGAGTCTCACTGTGGTTTTGATTTGCATTTTAAAATGTTGAGCATCTTTCATGTGCCATTTGTAGTATATCTTCTTTGGGGAAATGTCTGTTACATCTTTTGCCCATTTTAATAATTGGGTTGATTTTGTTGTTGTTGAGTTGTAGAAGTGCCTTTTTGTTGTTGTTGAGTCAGGGTCTCGCTCTGTCACCCAGGCTAGAGTGCAGTGGAATGAGCATGGCTCACTTGCACCCTCTGTCTGCCGGGCTCAAGCTGTCCTCCCATGTTAGCCTCCCGAGTAGCTGGGACTACAGGCATGTGGCACCAGGCCTGGCTAATTTTTGGGTTTTTTTTGGTAGAGTCAGAGTTTTGCTATGCTGCCCATACTGGTCTCAAACTCCTGAGCTCAAGTGACCCACCCACCTATTACAGGTGTGAGCCACCGTGCCTGGCCATAGAAGTTCTTTATATATTATGGATATTAAACCTTTATTAGATATGCTGATATATGCAAACATTTTCTCCCATTCCATAGATTGCCTTTTTATTTTCTCCTTTTTCTTGTATTTTAGAGACAGGGTATCACCGTCAGCCAGGATGATCCTCCTGCCTAAGCCTCTGGAGTAGCTGGGACTACAGGCACGTGCCACTGTGCCTGGCTAATTTATTTTCTCTTTTGTAGCAACAGGGGCAGTCTCACTATATTGCTCAGGCTGGTCTTCAACTTCTGGCCTCAAGTGATCCTCCTGCTTCAGCCTCCCAAAGTGCTAGGATTACAGGAATCAGCCACTGTGCCCAGCCAGGAGTTTTTAATTTTTATGAAGTTCAATTTATGTATTTTTTTCTTTTGTTGCTTCTGCTTTTGGTATCACATCTAAGAAAATTGCCAAATTCATTGTCAGGAAGCTTTTCTTCTATGTTTTCTTTGAAAAGTTTTTTGTTTTTTTGTTTTCTTTTTTGAGTTGGAGTTTCGCTCTTGTTGCTCAGGCTGGAGTACAATGGCGATTCTCCTGCCTCAGCCTCCTGAGTAGCTGTGATTACAGGTATGTGCCACCACGCCTGGCTAATTTTGTATTTTTAGTAGAGAGGGTTTCTCCATGTTGGTCAGGGTGGTCTTGAACTCCTGACCTCAGGTGATCTGCTTGCCTCAGCCTCCCAAAGTGCTGGGATTATAGATGTGAGCCATTACTTCCTGCCTCTTCTAAAAGTTTTAATTATTTTAGCTCTTATGTTTAAGTCTTTGATCCATTTGAGGTTTTTTTTTTTTTCTTTGAGATGGAATCTTGCCCTGTCACCAGGCTGGAGTGCAGTGGCGCGATCTCGGCTTACTGCAACCTCTGCCCCTCGGGTTCAAACGATTCTCTTACCTCAGCCTCTTGAGTAGCTGGGCCTACAGGCACCCGCCACCATGCCCAGCTAATTTTCACATTTTTAGTAGAGATGGGGTTTCACCATGTTGGCCAGGATGGTCTCAATTTCTTGACCTCATGATCCACCTACCTTGGCCTCCCAAAGTGCTGGGATTACAGGCATGAGCCAGCACACCAGGCCTTAAGTTAATTTTTGTATATAGCGTTAGGTAAAGTTCCAACTGCATTCTTTTGCATGTGGATGTCCAGTTTTCTCAACATCATTTGTTGAAAAGACTTAGCCACATGGTTTATTTTTATTTTTATTTTGAGACAGGGTCTCCCTTTGTCACCCAGGCTGGAATGTTGTAGCATGATCTTGGTTCACTGCAACCTCTGCCTCCCAGGCTCAAGTGATCCTCCTGCCTCATCTTTCCAAGTAGTTGGGACTACAGGCACAAGCCAACACACCTGACTAATTTTTGTATTTTTGTAGAGACAGGATTTTTCCATGTTGCCCAGGCTGGTCTCGAACTCCTGAGCTCAAGCGATTAGCCCTCCTCAGCCTCCCAAAGTGCTGGGATTTCAAGTGTGAGCCACCGCGCCCAGCCTGCCACATGGTTTTTTGATGTCCCATGGTCAGGTGCTCCATTTCTAGCAGGATATAGTAGCATGACAGAAGCTGGTTTTCAAATGTTTTGTCATTCTCTGCTGTAGACAGCATAGTCTTGCTGCAGATTCTCAGAGGGTCTGTTAGGATTCTTGTAATGGTGCTTGCTGTAAACTCCACTTGGTACCTTGTGCCACCACAGATACCATAGGATCTGCCAAGTCATATGTCCCAAGCAGTAGATCCTCCGTTCAACTCAGGGCCACACTGAAAGCTCGCCTTCCATGTCAGTTGATATATGGGTCAGAGCAGTATCCCAAAATACAGAGTGGGTTGTTTACAGAACCTAAAGACGCCTTTCAGGCATTATGCTTCCTTCTTGGTGGTAGCAGGTACCAGATGAAATAATTTGGTCTTTACTTCGGAGGGAGTATCCTGATATACCTAGATCACACCCTTAAAAACTTTACTGATGTGCTTTGTAAGGTTCATCTCCAACCCTTTGGAGCACACGTATCTTACCAAGGGTTCCAGTGCACTTGCTGTTTCGTGTTCATGGAGTATGATTTAATGCGATATCATTAGTAGTGAGCTCCTGGCGATCTGTGAAGTAGCCAGATCCAGATTCCTTTTTTTTATTTGAGACAGAGTCTCACTCTGTCACCCAGGCTGAAGTGCCGTGGCACAATCTCGGCCGACTGCAACCTCACCTCCCGGGTTCAAGCAATTCTGCCGCTTCAGCCTCCTGAGTAGGTGGAACTACAGGCACGTGCCACTACGCCTAGCTAATTTTTGTATTTTTTAGTAGAGACGGAGTTTCACCGTATTGAACAGGCTGGTCTTGAACTCCTGACCTCGTGATCCTCCTGCCTCGGCCTCGAAAAGTGCTGGGATCACAGGTGGGAGCCACCTTGCCCGGCCCAGACTCTTTTATACTGTATTGACAGAGAATAAAAGCATTAGCATGGCCCTTGGGGAAGACTCTAAAAGTACACCATTGTAGACATCACATGATATAAACTGCCTCTGGTCTTTTGAGGGGTAGAAAAGAATGCGTTTGCCTAATTAGCGGCCACATACCATATGCCTGAGACCAAGTAATTCTGTTCTAGCAAAGGTACTACACCTGGCACAATGACTGAAATTGGGACCTACTTGCTAGTAGTCTACTGTGATCCTCCGGAATCCATCTGGTTTTGTATAGGTTGTACTGAGGAATGAAATGAGGCTTTGATAAGGACCTCCACCCCTGCATTCTTTAGGTCTTTATTGATCATCTTGACTGGGTAGGGAGGGGCGGTTTCAGTGGCTTTTACTTAGCTTACCCCAGAAGCCAAGAAGTTAGTTTGCAGGTACTGCCACCTACCTAGTATGACCATTTCAATCATTTGGGTACTGAAGACATGACCATTGATTTGGTGGATCCAGTAGACCTGCTGTGAGCTAGACGTGTACCAAAATTCCATTTATTCTTTGGTGCCCACATGCCCCAATGCCATGATGAAGCTTCAGGTTTTCTGGTATCAGTGTCAGCTTAGACCCTGCATCCAGCAATCGTTAAAATGCCCAGGTCTTTCCTTTTCCCCAGTATACAGTTACTTGAATAAATGGCTATAGGCCCTTTGGAGGATGGGGGGAATCAACCATGAACATCTACCCTGTGATGTCTCAGGGTCTTACCTCCTGGGAGTTCTACCCTCTTCTTTAGGTAATAGTCTCGGGGACTTATAAAACTGACTTGGGCCTGGAAAATGAGTCAGAGATTGTGATTTTGCATGGGATGCAGCCCTCAGCCTCTTTTCCGTCTTTGACTTACCTTTTATTGTTTAGGCTATACTCTGTTGACTACCCATCTACCTTGCTGTGAGAAATGTCATGTTCTGTAAACCATCTCTGTATCACTGGCTGTGAAATCCCTTTTTATGTTTTTTATTTTTATTTTTTTTGAGGCAGAGTCACACTGTTGCCCAGGCTGGAATGCGGTGGCGCAGTCTCGGCTCACTGCAGCCTCCACCTCCCGGGTTTAAGCAATTCTTCTGTCTCAGCCCCCTGAGCAGCTGGAATTACAGGCACATGCCACCACACCTAGCCAATTTTTGTATTTTTCGTAGAGAACCCTCAAAGTGCTGGGATTGCAGGCGTGAGCCACCACACCCAGCCTGAAAACCCTTTTCAGCATTTGCCTCCTTGGTCCAGTCCAGACCTAAGCTATTTCAGGTTGGGTTCTCTGGGAAACAGACTGTACCGTGGAGATTTGCTTGCAGGAATTTTATTGGGAAGTAAGGCAACTTAAACTGGGATTCAGTTGCAGCAGGCCTCAGCCAACACCACAGGGGTCTCTGAAGCTGGGATGGCTCTTCAAAGATATTCTGAACTGAGGCAAAGGGATTGGACTTTTGTGTCACCCTCATTGACCAGGCACTGGATATGAGCTGTCCCCAAGGAATGAGAGGCATAAACTTGGGTGAGGCAGTTCCCTTGGCTGGAGATCCAACTACAAGCTGTCAGCAGACAGCATTCCTGGCAGGTGGCAGAATGAGCCCATAAGCCAAGAAAAAGAAGATCTGAGCAGTGCCCCTCAGCAGCCACTACAGTTCCCTTTTAGAATCAGCACAAAATGTCCTGGCCTCTTCTCTCTGAATGGAAATACCTGATGTTTTACAAAGTAGAGCTAAAGTCAAGATACATCCTATTCAGTTTTAATTTGAGGTTACTATTTTAATTTGAGGTTTAATTTTAATTTGAGGTTACTATTTAAAAAAAAAAAAAGAAGGGAGATCCTTTAAACAGAAAGGGTTACTTACTTGGGACATATAATAATGTGTGCTTGCTTTCTATGAGAATTGCAGGGAACTAGAAGACAAGAAAAAGATCCAGAATCTCTTGGCTCTTGTGGGAACAGACGCTGGAGAAGTGACCTATTTTTGTAAGGAGCCTCCTCACAAAGTAAGTAATCCTTGGTGGAACATGGTGAGTGTGGCTGTACAAATCACAGGCTAGGGCCCATCATCAGAAGAACTTTAGCATTTGCTAGAGAAGGCAGATGGAGAATTAGCCATCATAGTGCCATGTTTGCCTGAGTTTTAAAAGCCTTTTTGTTCGAAGACCTTGGGAAGTAGCATTGTTTACCCTGTTTCACTGTTTAGAAACCTGAAGCCCAGAGGGGTGGCTGTTTTAGTTGAGATAGAGAGAAAAGCAGGAGCAGACTGTGTGTGGGAGACAGTTTTGGTACTTAAGTTGCTTTTTAAATCTTTGTTATGCTGATTGCAAATGTAATCCATTAAAAATAAACACAGAGTATAGTAATCTATCATATGAAAATGGCAGGTTCTCATAATCCTGTACCACAGAGATAATTCATTATTAATAGTTTGATGTATATACTTCCGTCTCTTTTTCCATTCCTATAGAAATAGTTATGTGTCTATGTATCCTTTTTTTTTCACTTATATGAACAGTTTCTGAGCATTTTTATACATATCTATATATGTATATATCCATTTCCTAAAGGTCTTTGGTCAAGAGCTGCTTTTTTTGTTGTTGTTGTTGTTTTGAGACAAAGTCTCGCTCTGTTACACAGGTTGGAGTGCAATGCACAATCTTGGCTCACTGCAACCTCCGCCCCCAGGCTCAAGCAGTCCTTTCACCCCAGCCCAAGCAGCTGTGACTACAGGTGTGCACCACCATGCCCAGCTAATTTTTGTATTTTTTGTAGAGATAGGGTTTTACCATGTTTCCCAGGCTGGTCTCAAAACTCCTGAGCTCAAGCAGTCTGCCCACCTTGCCCTCCCAAAGTGCGGGGATCACAGGCATAAACCACCACAACCACCAAAGAGCCGCTTTTTAAGAAAATTAAAAAAAAATTTTTTTTAGACCTGAGGTCTTGCTCTGTTGCCCAGGGTAGACTCACACTTCTGGGCTTAAGCACCGTCCTTCCACCTGCAGTCGTGCATCACTGTGCCCCAAGCTATTTTTGTTTTTGTTTTTAATCATGTATTACTAAATAGCATTCCAATTTTATTTAGGTATTTATTTTATTTTTTGAATCTTCAGCTTTCAAACAAGGTCTTACTTACTCTGTTGCCCAGGCTGGAGAGCAGTGGAGTGATCATAGCTCACTGCAGCCTTGAGCTCCTGGGCTCAAGCGATCCTCCCACCTCAGCCTCCTGAGTAGTGGGGACCACAGGCACATGCCACCACACCCAGCTAACTTTAAGTTTATATCATCAACACAGGGTTTTATCCAATTTGTTACTTTGCCTGTGTGGCCTTTCATATGCATGGCATCCTTATATAATATCAATTTTGACAAATTTAACTTAGAGTGTTCGATCTGCAGAACTAAGGCTGAAAAGTAAAATATTACATTTATAGGAAGGCTACTTCTATACCAGTTTTTGCTTCTTCAGGTCACCATTCTCCAAAAGACTATCCAGGCTGTGGGTCAATGTGAGCAGAATGAATCTTCAGCTTTCAAAGCAGGTAACAACAGTATAACCTGTTAGAAATTCTCATTGATGCAGAATTGAAAATCACAGTGCAGGCTGGGCATGGTGTCTCACACCTGTAATCCCAGCACTTTGGGAGGCTGAAGAGGGCAGATCACCTGAGGTCGGGAGTTTGAGACCAGCCTAGCCAACATGTTGAAACCCCATCTCTACTAAAAATACAAAAAAATTAGCCGGTGTGTTCACAGGTGCCTGTAATCCCAGCTACTTTGGAGGCTGAGGCAGGAGAATTGCTTGAACCTGGTAGGCAGAGGTTGCAGTGAGCGGAGATCACACTATTGCACAACAGAGCAATTCTTTTTTTTTTTTTTTTTTTTTTTTTTTGAGGTGGAGTCTTGCTCGTTGCCAGGCTGGAGTACAGTGGCATAATCTCAGCTTACTGCAACCTCCGCCTCCCAGGCTCAAGAAATTCCCCTGCCTCAGCCTCCTGAGTAGCTGGGACTACAGGTGGTGCTACCACGCCCGGGTAATTTGTGTTTTTTTGTTTTGTTTTGTTTTTCTTTTGTTTTGTTTTGTTTTGTTTTTTGAGACAGAGTTTCGCTCTTGTTACCCAGGCTGGAGTGCAATGGCACGATCTCGGCTCACCGCAACCTCCGCCTCCTGGGTTCAGGCAATTCTCCTGCCTCAGCCTCCTGAGTAGCTGGGATTACAGGCACGCGCCACCATGCCCAGCTGATTTTTTGTATTTTTAGTAGAGACGGGGTTTCACCGTGTTGACCAGGATGGTCTCGATCTCTTGACCTCGTGATCCACCCGCCTCGGCCTCCCAAAGTGCTGGGATTACAGGTGTGAGCCACCGCGCCCGGCCTTCTTTTGTATTTTAGTAGAGACGTGGTTTCACCATGTTGGCCAGGATGGTCTGGATCTCCTGACCTTATGATCTGCCCACCTTGGCCTCCGAAAATGCTGGGATTACAGGCATGAGCTACCACACCTGGCCAACTGTGTCTCAAAAAAGAAAAAAGAAAAAATCACAATGGAGACAACTGGAAATGTTTTCTTACTATACAGTGATAATTGACATTCATGATGATGCCTTTGGTGATCTAATGTCTTAATGAGCTTTTCGAATCACCCAAGAAATTAAATTTTGCTCAGTTCAAATTTTAGTGTTCCTTATTTTTAAAATAACTTTGTCTTTTGAAAATTGTGTGATGTGTCATAACCAAAATGTTTAAGTTTTGTTTTTCTTATTCTGTTTGTTGATTGATTGATTGGTTGATTGAGACAGACAGGCTCTGCCACCCAGCATGGAGTGCAGTGGTACAATTATGGTTTACTGTAACCTTGAACTCCTGGACTCAAGTGACCCTCCCACCTCAGCCTCCTGAGTAACTGGGATGATAGGCATGTGCCACCACCCGTGGCTAATTTATTTTATTTTGTGTAGAGGGGGTTCTCACTCTGTCACTCAAGCTGGCCTTGAACTCCTGGCCTCAAGTGATTGTCCTGCTTTGTCCTCCCAAAGCACTGGTATTATAGGCATGAGCCATAGCACCTGGCCTTATTCTGATTAAATAGAATTTTATTAAGAAATAGACACAAGGCCGGGCGCAGTGGCTGACGCCTGTAATCCCAGCACTTTGGGAGGCCGAGGTGGGTGGATCACAAGGTCAAGAGATCGAGACCATCCTGGTCAACATGATGAAACCCCATCTCTACTAAAAATACAAAAAATTAGCTGGGCATAGTGGCGCGTGCCTGTAATCCCAGCTACTCAGGAGGCTGAGGCAGGAGAATTGCCTGAACCCAGGAGGCGGAGGTTGCGGTGAGCCGAGATCGCGCCATTGCACTTCAGCCTGGGTAACAAGAGCGAAACTCCGTCTCAAAAAAAAAAAAAAAAAAAAAAGAAATAGACACAACTATTTTAGTGGTTTATTCTAAGGAAAATTTAGTGGTTGATTGTGCCAGAAGATGAATATGATTATTTAGGTGACATCCTGCAGAGTTCCCCAACATGGGCAGTTTTGGTTATGAGCAAGGTGGGTCTCAGAGGTGATCGGTGATCAGATGGTGATGAAGTTCTAGATGCATTGTGACAAGCTCTAGAGAGTAGCATGCAGTCCCATAACTTGTACCAGCATCCCCAGCATCTGGCATTCCATGTTTCTGCTCCTGTGGCCTCCGTGGCGCAACAAGCTAGTGGTTTACTTGGACCTCTGCCTCATCTTTCTTCTTTTGCATTTCAGTCTGCAAATTTTTTCTTCCTCCACTTGGCCTTCATGGCGCAGAGGTTTCCCAAAAAAATGGCGCTTAGGCCGAGAGAAAACTAGAGATTCCTATTAGAAAAGTTAAGCCCTGTGGTTACAACGTTTCCCTCTTTCCTCCTTTCCTTCCCTTACAGGTAAATGAATCTGAACTCCTCTGCATGGGAAATGCTGATATTTCAATAGCAGACAGAAAAGCTGGGTAAAATCTTGATTGATTTTGTTTTCTATTTTAGATCCTAAAATAAGCAAAAGAAGACCATCAAGAGAGAGAGAAGAAAGTTCTGGGCATTATCAAAGAGACATACAGACGCTGATCCTACAGGTAAAGAATGTATTTTGGCAGACCAAGATGGCTTTTATCCACAAGTTGAACTTTATATAACATACCTTTAGTATCATGTGGTAAGTATCTCACTGCACACAGGTTACATTTAAGCATCATGTGATTAAGAAAATTGAGGTTGTTCCTAATTTCCAAGAGCTTATATTTAAAAACCATCCTTTTCTATTGGAACATTCTAAAAGCGCTACTCTGAACCTTTAATTCAATATGCTAAGCCCCACCCACCAAAACCATTATAAAGTAAGAATTCACTGGCCTAGGGGTATACAGAGAGTTGCAGAAGGAAGCTTGTCTATGCTGATATATCAACATTTGGTGGTACATTCATTTATTTAGTGCATGAGTTCTAAAGTCTAGGAAAGTAATGAACTATTAACCTCCTGGTTATTATGTGTCATTTGGAACCGTGATTTTTCATCTAATTGTACTAAAGTTTCTGTTCTCATTAGGGTAAGTCTATTGATTTAAATGACAGTTTGTACCTTTGGCCAGTGTCTCCATGTAAGTCATGACAGCCAGACACAGAGAAGGAAATTACATTATATTCATTTTGCTCTACTTGGGGAAACCAAAAACTAAGAAAAGAGTCATTCGGTTTCTGTGCAGCTAGGGTGTCTTAAAAGGGAAGCAGTCAAGGGAGACAGCAAAAAGGCAAAAATCATAGGGTCAAGGAAATTGAATTTTGTAGCTTTGTTTGTGTAATGTTGATGCTAGGTTTTGTGTGGACAAAGAATCTACTCTTGTGTAGCCTATCCCCATTTATAAGACAGTAAGAGGAGGTGGGGCAAGGTGGCTCATGCCTGTAATCCCAGCACTTTGGGAGGCTGAGGCAGGTGGATCACAAGGTCAGAAGATCAAGACCATTCTGGCCAACATGGTGAAATCCCATCTCTACTGGAAATACAAAAATTAGCTGGATGTGGCAGCACATGCCTGTAATCCCAGCTACTCAGGAGGCTGAGGCAGGAGAATTGCTTGAACCAGGGAATCAGAGGTTGCAGTGAGCCAAGATCGTGCCACTGCACTCCAGGCTGGTGACAGAGCAAGTCTCGGTCTCAAAAAAAGAAAAAAGACATTAAGAGGAATTGGGCTGGGCATGGTAATGCCTATAATCTCAGCACTTTGGGAGGCCAAGGAGAGATGATTGCTTGAGCCCAAAAGTTTGAGACCAGCCTGGACAACATAGTAAGACCCCATCTCTACAACCCGAGACCAGCCTGGACAACATAGTGAGACCCCCATCTCTACAAAAAATAAAAATAAAATTAGCTGGGTGTGGTGGTACACACCTGTAGTCCTGGAGGCTGAGGCAGGGAGGACTGCTTGAGCCCAGGAGATTGAGGCTGCAGTGAGCTATGATCATGCCACTGCACTCCAGCCTGGGTGACAGAGCGAGACCTTGTCTCAAAACAAAGAAGAGGATTAGAATTGAGACTCTTTGTTTGTGTTTGTTTTTTAATTTTTTTGGAGAAAGGCTCACTTTTCCTAGAGGTATGAAGTACTATAAGTGGAAGTAGGGCTGGATTTCTCACACTTTTTGGCCTGTCTAGGTGGAAGCACTGCAGGCTCAGCTGGGAGAACAGACCAAACTTTCTCGAGAACAAATGGAAGGGCTCATGGAGGATAGACGGATTCGCCTCGAGGAAATACAAGTTCAGCACCAGAGAAATCAGGACAAAATCAAAGAACTAACCAGAAAGTGAGTGTCTAAGAAAGCTGTGCCAAACAGGTGTTTTATTTTTCTGAGTGGCTTGAAAGTTAACATTTTGTACTTGAGCAACAGCGGGTCATAGAACTGAAGGGAACCTTGAAAAAATTGTCTTCCTCAGAAACACCTGCCTCTAGGTAGAAGAGTGTCTCATTTTTCTAGGCATGCTGTTGAAGAGCTGATGAGTTTTTCACGTACTCCTTTAAATCCATTTTAGTGTTTTAGCTTGCTTCTGGTGGTTAAGAAGTTCTTCGGCTGGGTGCAGTGGCTCACGCTTAGGCGACAGAATGAGACCTTGTCTCAAAAAAAAAAAAGTGTTATTTTATCCACTGATGTACTGTCTGACTCAATGTACTAGGGCCCTTTTCTTTTGTTTGCCCCTTCATGAATATGGAAAAGATGAGTCTGCCAGTGCTTTTTTCTAGAGACGTGTCATCATTTTTGTCTTCTAAGAAATTTTGGACCCAAGAAAGGCAGGATTATATTTTTTTCAAACAGATTGATTTGGTGTAGTGTATTCTTAGTTATCAAAATACTCAAAAAGCTTTGGGATTTTGAATTGGTAAATATCTATGATGTGTGAAACAGCATGATACATACTGTACAATCTCAGTCTCATAAAATTGGATGTTGTGTCTACACACACGCAAGACTTAGAACGTCCTATAAACTTTACAGTTTACAAACTGTAAAGTGCCTCTGATTGTGGATGACTTTATTATTTGTTTCTTATGTATTTCAGTTTCCTATAATGTACATACTTTTTAAAAATTATTAGGCTGGGCGTGGTGGCTCACACCTGTAATCTTAGTACTTTGGGACGCTGAGGCGGGAGGATCATGTGGTCAGGAGTTCAAGACCAGCCTGGCCAACATGGTGAAACCCTGTCTCTACTAAAGATGCAAAAAGTTAGCTAGGTGTGGTGGCGTGCGCCTGTAATCCCAGCTACACAGGAGGCTGAGGCAGAATCTCCTGAACCCAGAAGGCAGAGGTTGCAGTGATCCAAGATTGCACCATTGCACTCCAGCCTGGGGGACAGGGCAAGATTCCACCTCAAAAAAAAAAAAAAAAAAAATCTAAACGAATAAAAGCAAGAAATGGCAAACTCTGTTCTCATGGTTTTTGTTCCTGACCTGCTTGTCTATCTTTACTTTTCTGCAGTCTGATTTCATTCCCACCATTTTATTAAGCATGCCCTTTCTGGGATCATCATTGACCTCTTAACATTTTTTTTTTTTTTTTTTTTGGAGACCAAGTCTCACTCAGTTGCCCAGGATGGAGTGCAGTGATGCCGTCCTGGCTCACTGCAACCTCCACCTCCCGAGTTCAAGCAATTCTCCTGCCTCAGCCTCCCAAGTAGCTTGCATTACAGGGGCACGCCACCACGCTCCACTAATTTTGTATATCTAGTAGAGATGGGGTTTCACCATGTTAGCCAGTCTGGTCTCGAACTCCCAACCTCTGGTGATCCACCTGCGTCGGCTTCCCAAAGTTCTGGGATTACAGGCATGAGCCACTGCGCCCGGCAGTCCTGTTAACTTCTGAGACCAGTTATATCTCTGTTCAGTCCTTATTATACTTAGTATCTTCCTGCATATTTGCCATCACTGATCAGCCCCTCCTTGAAATTCATTTTTCTTGATTTCTGCAGCACCTGTCTTTCTTGGTTTTTCTACCTGTCTAACCACTTCACCCTTTTGTCTGGTTCTAGTGGCCAGACCTATGCCATAAGGACATCCTCAGTTGAATGTGTTTGAGCCTGTCATATTTACCATTACTAAAACCACACTGTTTGTCTCTTCCAACAAATACCCACATCCCCATCTCAAACCTACTACTTTTTTTCGTTTAGTTTCATGGCATCACACGTATTCAGTTTCCCAAGCTTGAAACCACAAGATCATCTTCAACTCTTAAACTTATTCCTTAATCCAAACCCTATGGACTGTAAGCCTAAAAACCCTCCTAAGTCCATTCTCTGCTCTCTCATTGTTTTATTTTGTTTTTTCCAGTAAAGACAGGGTCTGTTGCCCAGAGTATGAGTGTGGTGGCGTGATCATAGCTCATTGCAGCCTTGGACTTCTAGGCTTATGCAATCCTCCCGCCTCAGCCCTCCAAGTAGCTAAGATTACAGGTGCATGCCACCAGACCTGGCTTATTTTTATTATTTTTTGTAGAGATGGGGTCTCGCTCTGTTGCTCAGGCTAGTCTCAAACTCCTGGCTTCAAGCAATCCTCTCACCTCAGCCTCCTGAAGCACTGGCATTACAGGCATGAGCCACTATGCCCAGCCCTGCATTCTTATTCTTACTACATTAATTCAAGCTTTGTTCCTTTGTTTAATTGTTGCAGTAGTCTCCCTGTTCTTCCTATCTCTGATCCTTTGTATTCTTATAGTCCTCCTGACTACTATGATTAGTTCCTCTGTTAGGAATTATCAACTGCTTAAAAATATTTGATAGTCTCCATTTACCTTATGATTTAAGTCCTGATACCTTAGCATCAATTTTTAGGGACATCATCCTCTGACATCAAATAAACCTTCAGCCTCAGCTCCTCCCCTGTTGCTGTAGTTCGTCTTGTGCTTCAGCCAGACTAATTATAATAACTATTGCTTATGGGACACTTGTTGTTTGGCAGCACCTTCCGTCACCTCCTTCTTTGACGACTTCTCTAGGCCAACTTAAGTTCTTCCTCTCCGTATTCCCATGTTTAGCATGCCTCTGTGGTGACACTTATCACCATGTATTGTAATGCTGCCTTTGTTCCCAGAGTCTTGCTGGGTGGCCTCTGCCCTGCTCTCTGCACAATAGGCACACAGTAAATGTTTGTTGAATACTTAACAGTCCTTATGAAATTGTACCTTACCATCGCTTTTGTGCATTAAACATCCTACATTTTAAAATATTTCTCATATTACATTCTTCATTCTTATATCATTTTCTTACTGTCTTGCCAAACTTTTCTGGTGTCTATTTCTCCATTGTCAAGTGCGGTGATTAAAATTGGACATGATATTCAAATTAGGATCTCTGAAAATTGCAGAGTAGAAAATGTCTTCTGGCTCTTATAAGCTATGTTTCTTTTCTTTTCTGTTTTTTTCTTTTTTTTTTTTTTTTTTTTTTTGAGACAGAGTCTCGCTCTGTTGCCCAGGCTGGAGTGCAGTGGCGCGATTTCGGCTCACTGCAACCTCTGCCTCCCAGGTTCAAGCAATTCTTCTGCCTCAGCCTCCCAAGTAGCTGGGATTACAGGCACCCGCAACCACGCCCAGCTGATTTTTGTGTTTTTAGTATAGACAGGGTTTCACCATGTTGACCAGGCTGGTCTTGAACTCCTGACCTCAGGCGATCTGCCCACCTCAGCCTCCCAAAGTGCTGGGATTACAGGCGTGAGCCACCACACCTGGCCTGCTATGGTTCTTTTAACATAGTATAATGTGTTTGCATTTGGCCAGTATTTCTCCATCTTCATTTTTATTTTTAGTATTTTTGCACTTAAGTATAGCATGTTGACTTTTCATTGGGTTTTTGTTTCTAAGGGACAGATATTTTTAAATTGTCACAGTAATTTGTAATTTTTTATCTGTTTTCCAGAATATCAATAACTTTCCTTGTTTAGCATTATCTTCACATCTGAGCACGTGATTGGTTCCTTCCATTAGATAGATCTTCCTAAGAATGGCATGAAATCCAAGGCCATTAATGACTGCCCTTTGGGTGTCACTTTCAAGCTACTTGTATTTTAACAACCCCATACTTTCCCGGTTTGTAATTGAGAACATAATGTAAGACAGAATAAAATAGCTCATTCAAAGTGAGGGAGATCCATGTGGTAACTGAATCAATCAATCTCTCTTTATACACATGCATACATACCTGACTGCATATATTCATCTTGTGACATTTACTCTACTGTGTGCTTGGCACTATGCTATCATTTTCCTCTTATCTGTTACTCATGAAAATAACTAAATGGATCTGACATTATTTGTTCAATAGAAAACTACAGCAATTGCTTCATGATATTTAATACTCTTGCAAGCAGTTAGATCATTCGGTATAGTATGTTTCTAGGTGTTGATGTTAAACTGATGAGTTGCTAACTTCCAGGGATATTGTTTTTTAGAGACAGAAACATTGTCTATCCCCAAATCTCAGGAAATAGTCATCAAGAATCTGTTTACTGCCTGTGTATGTCTAGTAGTTAGTATTATCCTTGACAATTTCATGGCATTGGGGCAAAAATAAGTGATAAATAAGGTATATGCTTTCACTCAGGCTGGGAAAAAAGTGCATGTTGACAGTTGAAATATGACAGATGAGCAAGTGTTGGATTATAAGACAAGGGAACATTAACACTGTTATGGAATTTCAGAGAATGGAGAAACTAAAATAGGCTAAAGTTGTTGAAAATGACTTCATATAGGAAGTTGATTTTTTAAAAAGGAAGCTGGGTGCAGTGGGTCACACTTGTAATCCCAGCATTTTGGGAGACTGAGGTGAGAGGATTGTCTGAGCCCAGGAGTTTCAGACCAGACCAGCCTAGGCAACATAGCAAGACCCTGTCTCCTTACACACAAACATTTTTTTAATGAGCTGGCACACCCCCTGGGAGGTGGTCGCAGCTGCTTAGGAAGCTGAGACAAGGATTGCTTGAGCCCAGGGGGTCGGGGCTGCTGTGAGCCGTGATTGTGCCACTGCACTTCAACCTAGGTGACAGAGCAAGACCCTGTCTCAAAAAAAAAAATGTTATTTTTAAAATAAAAAAGGATAAGATTTTGATACAGGCAGTTCTACGTGGAGCACAACATACACAAAGCAAAGCTGTTTTTGATACTTTGGAATTTGTGTTGATTTGTCAGAAACCATGATTTAGTTCTTCCTTGTATTATTCCTAGGAATGGTCCATACTCATGCAGCCTATGTGTAAATATCCCTGTGGTCCTTCTAATCATATAACCTGAAATTAGCACTCAGGAAAATACCTGTAAAGAGCAGTCTATGAACCAGTGAGCATGGGTAGACACATTATACTTTGCCCAGTAAAACATGTAAGATTGCCAGTGATCAGATTTTTAAAACTGCTATTATTTTACAAAATTTATATATTATACAATTTTAAAATAACCACTCTCTTCCATTTTGGAATAATCCTTGCTTTCAAGTGTGCTGTGTGTGCATCCCCGTGTCTGCATTTATACTTTCTTTCCTAGTCTTCACCATACCCAAGAACTGCTCTATGAGAGCACCAAAGATTTTCTGCAACTCAGATCTGAAAACCAAAATAAAGAGAAGTCATGGATGCTTGAAAAAGATCATTTGATGTCAAAGATTAAGCAATATAGGGTGCAGTGTAAGAAGAAAGAAGATAAAATTGGAAAAGTGTTGCCTGTTATGCATGAGAGTCATCATGCCCAAAGTGAATATATTAAGGTAATGTCCTTATGTCTTAAAGAAGTTATTTATTTTTCTGGAAGAGTTGAAGGAATTCCAAATAACCTACAATTTGTAATAAGATCCATTCAGTCCAGGAAGCTCTTGTAGCAGCTACAAGAGCTTCCTCAAGAACTAGGTTTCAAAGAACATCTGATCGTTACAGTGTTTAAGGATTTAAAATATTAGACTTGTTGATTGATTCATTCAATAAATATTTATTGCACTCCTGTTATGGGTTAGGCTCCAGAGTTACAGTACTAAATAATCTAAACAAGGTCTGCCCTCATGGTGTTTATACTTTAATGGGTGAGAAAAAAACAGAAACATTAACAAATAACTAAGAAATTATAGATTAGGCCGGGCATCATGACTAATACCTGTAATCCTAGAACTTTGGGAGGCTAAGGTGGGTGGGTCACCTGAGGTTAGGAGTTCGAGACCAGCCTGACCAACATGGTGTGAAACCCTGTCTCCACTGAAAATACAAAAATTAGCTAGGTGTGGTGGCAGGTTCCTGTAATCTAGCTACTTGGAAGGCTGAGGCAGGAGAATCACTTGAACCCAGGAGGCAGAGTTTGTAGTGAGCCGAGATCATGCCATTGCATTCTACCTTGGACAATAGAGTGAGACTGTGTCTCAAAAAAAAAAAAAAAAGACTTTGGGAAGCTGAGGCGGGTGGATCAGTCAGGCATGGTAGTGGGCACCTATAATCCCAGCTACTTGGGAGGCTGAGGCAGGAGAATCTCTTAAACCAGGGAGGCAAAGGTTGCAGTGAGCCAAGATTGCCCACTGTACTCCAGCCTGGGTGACAGAGCAAGCCTCTGTTTCAAAAAAAAAAAAAGTGGTATTCAGGGAATAAAAGAATTACATGAACACTATATGAAGTTGCTGGAAGTCAATTGTATTAACAGAAGGAACGCACAGGGACACTCTCTTATATCTAGTGTTTTTGTTCAGACCTGGAAAATGGGACTATACAGACATTGAGGAAGGGCATTCCTGGCAGAGGGAAAAGCAAATTTTTTTTTTTTTTTTTTTTTTTTTTTTGAGACGGAGTTTTGCTCTTGTTACCCAGGCTGGAGTGCAATGGCATGATCTTGGCTCACTGCAACCTCCGCCTCCCGGGTTCAGGCAATTCTCCTGCCTCAGCCTCCTGAGTTGCTGGGATTACAGGCACGCGCCACCATGCCCAGCTAATTTTTTGTATTTTTAGTAGAGACAGGGTTTCACCATGTTGACCGGGATGGTCTCGATCTCTTCACCTCGTGATCCACCCACCTCGGCCTCCCACAGTGCTGGGATTACAGGCTTGACCCACCGCGCCCGGCCGGGAAAAGCAAATTTATAGGCCTGGAGTATGTTCAAAGAAATGAAAGGCTGGTGTCATGGTTGTAGAGGAATAGGTAAGGAGGAAGTGGTATGCTCTTTAAGAAGGCAGGGTCAGCAGCAGCCCATCGTGGAGGGCCTTGTGCATCATGGTACGAAGTGTGAATTTAGCTCTCAGAAGTGTTATGCCCTTGAAGGATTGTGTGAAAAAAGTAACCTGGGCCAGGTGTGGCGGCTCCCGCCTGTAATCCCAGCACTTTGGGGGCCGAGGCGGGCGGATCACAAGGTTAGGAATTTAAGACCAGTCTGGCCAACATAGTGAAACCCTGCCTCTACTAAAAATACAAAAATTAGCTGGGCATGGTGATGCACACCTGTAGTCCCAGCTACTCAGGAGGCTGAGGCAGGAGAATCGCTTGAACCTGGGAGGCAGGGGTTGTGGTGAGCCATAGTAGCGCCACTGCACTCTAGCCTTGGCAACAGAATGAGACTCCATCTCAAAAAAAAAAAAAAAAAAAAAGGTAACATGATCTGATTTGAGTTTTTAAAAGATCATTTTAACTGCTCAATAGAGCATGTATAATAAGTGTTGTTGCTGTTCATATTTCTTCCTTTTTAAAGAAGAACTTTAGAAATGTAGCCCAAAACATATATTGTAATGTCTGTCTTGGGACAGCTTCTGAGCTCCATTGTCTGACTCTTTTCAGAGCCAAAAATATTTGTTTGAATTTCTACTGTGTACATTTTAGAATAAGGGCTTAAGAGACTAGTCTAGAAGTAGGAGATTTTCAGATGTTCCTCAAAGCTCCTGTCATCTGGTTCCTTAACTCATTTTGTACCTTTGGAAATCTCTTGTTTTCTTTCTTTCTTTATCTAAGTGCTATTTGAATTACCTAAATTGTAGAACTGATTATTAATGGTTTTTGTTGCTTTGACTTGCAGTCCCTAAAAGACAAGTTAGTACAAGAGAAAAAGCTGTCCAATATGTATCAAGAGCAGTGCATTTCCTTAGAAGAAGAACTTGCCCGAATTCGTGAGGAAGAGGGAATGAGGAGAGAGATCTTCAAGGTACAAAATTGTCTGCCACTTATAATGGAGTAGGAAGTGCAGATGGCTTGGGAAAACGCTTCTGTCACCTTCATAAGTGCCTTCCCATTCCCCGTATTTAGGATCGCACTAACAAGTTGGGGAAGCGTTTGCAGATAATGACAAAACGCTATGAAGCATTGGAGCAGCGACGTATCTTGGAAGTAGAAGGCTTTAAGACAGATATTAAGGTTCTCCGACAGAAACTGAAAGACTTGGAGCAAATATTGTATAAGGTAACTGATTATCCTGAATTGCCACAAGGGAGAAAAGAGGTGGAAGTGAGGGAACATTGGGTCACGAGGGTTCCTTAAAAGAAGGATGTGCTGTTTCCCTGCTGGTAGACACTAACAGATCACCAACTTTAAGCCTTGCTGAAAATTAGTTCAACAAGTACATGCTAGAGAGAAAATAAAAAATACCCTGAAATCATTAAATGACTCCGTCATGAATACTTCCACGTAAGCTAAACTTAACAGAAATTGTCATCCCTCCTAATTCAAGAAGTAGATTAAAGAATCATGTCTGTTTTACAGTTGGGGAAGTGAGTAATTGAGTGATAGAGTAATTTTTTCCAGCAGACACAATGTTTTAGAATACAAGTTGCCTCAAGAGCCTTCTTAATGAGATTTAGCCAGTTAGCCTGTGTTCCAGGCAAGGTTAGTTACAAAAAGAGGAGATGCCTGCTTTGATTCTTTGACAAATTTACCAGTAGTGTTGCTTATTCTGGTCTCTTACTCCTCCTCCATTATTCATTGATCTCTATTTCAAGGCTCCTTTATTGTATGGGAAGGAGTTTCACTAGAATTCTGCCTTAATTCTACATTTTCTCTCTTTAGTTAGCCACTGAACAAACTAAGGATGGAATTCATCTTATGTACTCAAGATCTCATAAAAAAGGAGCCAGCATAGCTGTCTTTTTGACTGATATCTCTGCCCATTTCTTCTTTTTTTTTTTGTCAAATCCCTAGGTAACGGTTAATGCCCTGGCAAATCAGGATCTCGCCATTCTGTGTGAAGTCCGTGACAGCAATAGACGGGCACATAAGATACAAGGAGAATTGAAGAATCTTAAGTCCAAAGTGTTTGGTCTGGAGAATGAACTTAGAGTCTGTTGATGTCTACTTTTGGAAATGGCCCCCATTTGGAAGAGGTGTGCTTCTTTCAACCTGAGGACAAGGTCATCTGCTGCCAGAAAATGTAGACCTGAGTTGACTAGAGTGGTGGTATTCATTATTATAAAGACAGGGTGAAGAATCAGGGACCACTGGGAAAGCTTTTCTTGCATACTGAGCTTGCTTTATCATTTTTGCTGTCCTTTTAACATTTGTGAGGAGTGGGGGCCTGGTGCCAAATGACTGAGAAGCTTTCATTATTTATCTCATCTGTATTGACAGGTTTTTGGGTTTTTTTAGAAGACAGTGATGATGAAAGCTTAGGAAGAAGGTATTTTGCAATGAGCTTGGCTGAGTGTCTGTGGGAAGAACACTTTCCCTAAAGAGAGAGAAGCACCCACGGAGGCTGCCTTTCTCCTGAGCTCAGGGAGAAGTCAGCACATCACAACTTGTCACATTGGAGTAGGCGCTCATTCTATTTCACCTTCCGTTCTGTGCGGAACCTCAATCACATTTTTGGGCAATTTCATGGTGTTTCACCAGAGGGCACTAGAGACTCTACTTGAACAAAATGTCCATCTGGATAAACAAAGGAGACACTTTGACAAGGGTAAATGAAACTGAAATGATCCTTATATGGAAAGTTTGATACTTTATCAGTAACATGGCCTTTTTAAAAATGATGTATCTATTTTAAATTAACTATTTTCGATAAAATATTTCATTCAAAAGATTCTATTTGAGTTTTCTGTAACTACTTCTCAATGCTATGTTCATGCTTTGTTAATGACTCAGGCAGCTCAGTCTACTCTCTTGTTCTATGGCCTCTGCTGTACAAGTTTGGTTTTTGTTTTTTGTTTGTTTGTTTGTTTTGAGATAGAGTTTCGCTCTTGTTGCCCAGGCTGGAGTGCAATGGTGCAATCTTGGCTCACAGCAAACTCTGCCTCCCAGGTCAAGTGATTCTCCTACCTCAGTCTCCCAAGTAGCTGGAATTACAGGCACTCACCACCATGCCCACCTAATTTTTTTTTTTTTTTTAGTAAAGACAGGGTTTCACCATGTTGGTCAAGCTGGTCTTGTACACCTGACCTCAGGTGATCCACCCGCCTCGGCCTCCTCTCTAATTCCAAAAATTAGAGAATTTGGGAGTAAGAAATAACTTTAAATATTTTTTTCTTTTTTTATGTTTTATGTTTTATTTTATTTTTTTATAGAGATGGGGTTTCACCATGTTGGCCAGGCTGGTCTTGAACTCCTGACCTCGTGATCCACCCACCTCAGCCTCCCAAAGCGCATGAGCCACCGCGCCTGGCCGAACCTTAAATATTGTATACTCCAACTTACTTAAAAATGACCTTAAATATTATATACTCTATCTTACTTAAAAATGACTACTACCAGTGACCTCAGCAATCAGTTGATAATGTTTCTGACATCCTGGTGTCAATTCTAATGACATTCATCTTTATATTAACCACCCACTGGTGTGGCCACTCTAAATCTCATGATCAGTCAAAACTATCACCAAGAAGCAGCATAAAATAGAGGAAAGGGCATAGGCTTTGGAGAACCACAGGTCTAGATTGAGTCACACCTCTTACTAAAATTCTGCAGGCTCTAGTCTCTGTCTGTAAAAGAGACAAAAAGCTACCTGTTTCAGCAGGGAGATTGTGAAGATTAAGAAGGAAAATCTAGTATCCAGAGTATATAAAGAGCTCTTACAACTCAATTAAAAACATACACACAATTTTAAAATGGGCCAGGGATCTGCATAGACATTTCTCCAAAAAAGATATACAGATGGCCAATTAGTACATGGAAAGACACTCAACATTAAGGAAATGGAAATTAATGCTCATTAGGATGGCTCTAACCAAAAAGTCCGTAACAAGGGTAATAAGGTCCATAATAAGCATGTGGAGAAACTGGAGGCCTCATAGATTGCTAGTAAGAATGTAAAATGGTGCTTCCCCTTCGAAAAACAGTCTGGCAGTTGCTCGAAAAGTTAAGCATTGAGTTACCATATGACCCTGCAATTCCACTCCTTAAGTATATACCCAAGATAAGTAAAAAATATACTCACACAAAATCTTGTGCATAGATGTTCATAGCAGTATTATTAATAATAGGCCAAAAGTGGAAACCATCCAAATCTCCATAAGCTGGTGAATCGATAAACAGTGGTATATCCATATAACAGAATATTATCAGCCATGGGAAGGAATGATGTAGTGATACATGCTATTACATGGGGGAACCTTGCAGCGTTCTGCTTAGGCAGAAATCGAAGGCCACATATTGTGTGATTCCCATACACATGAAACATCCAGAATAGGCAAATCCATGTGGAAAGTAGATTAGTGGTTGCCAAGGGCTGAGAAGAGGGGGCAATAAGGATTGACTGCTAATGGGTATGTGGTTTCTTTTTAAAGTGTTGAAAATATTCTGGAATTAGTGATGATGGTTGTCAAACTGTGAAGATACTTTAAAAACCACAGAATTGAATGCTTTACAAGGATGAATTTTATGGTATGTGGGTTATATATCAATTTTTTTTTTGAGACGCGGTCTCGCTGTCATCCAGACTGGAGTCCAGTGGCTCAATCTTGGCTCACTGCAGCCTCAACCTCACAGGCTTAAGCGATCCTCCAACCTCAGCTCCCTTAGTAGCTGCGACTACAGGCACGTGCCACCATGCTCAGCTAACTTCTGTATTTTTTTGTTAAGGGGATTTGCTATGTTGCCCAAACTGGTCTTGAATTCCTGGGCTCAAGCAATCCTGCCCTGGCCTCCCAAAGTGCTGGGATTATAGGCATGAGCCCCCACACCCAGCCTATATCAATTTTAAAACAAAGCAAAACAAAACAAAAAACCTCCATGAAACGGCTTAGTCTGGTGCCTAGTATATAGTAGGCATTCGGTTACAATTAGCTGTTACCTATATTTTGGCTTCAATTGACTTATCAATTGCTCACTACTGCCAATCGGATCCCATGATGTATTTAATGCAATTCATTGCTTCATTCAGTAATTTATTTCGTAAGTGCTATCTATGTTGTTTTGTTTTTCAAGAAACAGTGTCTTGCTCTGTTGCCCAGGCTGGAGGGCAGTGGTACAATCAAAACCCACTGCCATTTTGAACTCCTGGGCTCAAGCAGTCCTCCCACTTCAGCTTCCCAAGTAGCTGGGACTACAGGTGCATGCCACTACACCCAGCTAATTAAAAAAAAAAAAAAAAATGTACAGGTAGAGTCTCACTATGTTCCCAGGCTGGTCTCGAGCTCCTAGCCTCAAGCAGTCCTCCTGCCTCATCCTCCCAAAATGCTGGGATAACAAGCATCCCACTGCACCTGGCCCCTTAAGTGCTTTTTATGTTCTAGAAATTATGCTAGATCTTAAATTTACAGAGAACACTATAACACTTGTCCTCCCAAGGTTGGTGGAGAAGATAAATATAGAAAAAACTCAGTAATGAAGCGCAGTGCTATCGGTGCTCACTATAGAAAGCAACAGAGAAGGCGACTCACAGGAGTTGCATGTGAACTGAACTTCAAAGTGAATTTGGAGACAGACAAGAAGCTGGACCTTGTAGGCAGACGGACAACATGTATGAAGGCATTGAAGAACAGAATGTTTGGGGAAATGCAAGTGCAGGAGACAGAGCTACGTAATATAAGACATAAGAAATGGCATGAAATTTCATTTAATACAATTATGCAAACCTGTTAAATATTCCAAGACGCTTTAAATCAATTGAAAATGTTTGGGTTTGCTTAAAACTAGAGAAAAACAACTTAATAAAAATCTGAAATAGTTTGTGATATAAAGTCATGCATGAAAATAATTTGAAATGCAAACTCATTTCTTAAAAATTAGGGGCAAGGGGGTCAGGTTGTGGTGGCTCATGTCAGTAATTTAGTAATCTCAACACTTTGGGAGGCAGAGGCTTGCTAGGGCCCAGGAGGTCCACGCCCGTCTGGGCAACATGGCAAAAACGCATCCACAAAAACTACAAAAGTTAGCTGGGTGTGGTGGTGCACATGTGTAATCCCAGCTACTTGGGAGGCTGAGGCAGGAGGATCACTTGAACCTGGGGGGTTGAGGCTGTAGTGAGCCATGTTTGCACCTCTGCCACAAAACAAGACTCTGTCTCAAAGCAGGCGAGGGGGTAAGAAGTATCATGAAAGAATAAATATATGAAATGTTTATTTCCTGGTAAATCTTTGTATTTCAGATCAAGCTAAGGCACAATCACTTAATTCTAGGATTTATTGCAGTATCTGCAGGAACAAATCAAAGGATCGTGCAAAGGATCTTTGCAAAGCGCCATCATCATTTGCTCTGCATTTTAAACTTTGTGTTTTAATCATATATATGAGTAACTTGGTAATAAGTCATAAAACTTTTTATCCATAAAACTTATGTGATTTTTCACAACATAAAATAGCCTCTGGCTATGTTATTTTTGGTCCAGTCTTATGATTCTCACTGCCTCTCCACCCACACCACATTAGTTGGGCTACTAAGACTTACTGTAATATTTGCAACACAGCAGATTGCACTATCATCACTCACTGTATCTAGGAACAGAAGGAAAAAGATGGCGCTGTCCTCATCCAGAAGAGAAATTCAGGGTCTAAGCTAAAGGGAGACATTGAGAAGAAAGAGGAAGGGACAGATTTGCAAATCATTTAGGAGCAGAATGCTCATCCTATCTTTGTGATGGATGAGATGTGAGTTAGGGAAGAGTTAAGGAGGTGAGAAGATCGCTTGAGCCCAGAAACTCAGGGACTGAGACCAACCTGGGTAACACAGTGAGTGAGACCTTGTCTCAACAACAACAAAATTAGGCAGGCATAGTGTCTCGCGCCTGTAGTCCTAGCTACTCAGGAGGCCAAGGAGGGAAGACTGCTTGAGTCCAGGACTTTGAGGTTGCAGTGAGTTATGATCGTGCCACTGTACATCAACCTGGGCAACAGAGTGAGACTGTATCTCAAAGGAAAAAAAAAAGGATAATTCTCTAACTTCAAAGTTTCTGGCTTGAAGTGCCACGTGTCCAGTGACACCATTAAGTGAGCGTCAATGTATAGGAGAAGCAGCCTGTTTCTAGTAAATTTGGGAATAGAAATCTGGAAGATAAGTTAGTATTAAAGATTTGGAATTCTAACAGATAGAAGGTAATTGGATGTGGATGAGATCCAAGATGAAAAGCATACAGAATAAGAAGAGAAGACGGTCAAAGAGGGGAAACCTTAACAGTAAGAGGGGGGGTAGCCAGTAAGAAAGGAAAGGTCTGAATAACAAGAACATAGTGTTCTGGAAACTCGGGGACTGAGAACTTCAACAAGCCAGTGGTTGGGAGCATTGTCAAATGCTCTAGAAGAATCATGTAAATTAGAATTAAGTTTGGGATTTAGCAGCAGGTGAATTTAGAGCAATTTCATTGAAGTAGAGATGAAAGTTGGCCTACATTAGGTTGAGGGATGAGGCCAGAAGGAAAATGGGAAATAGCTTCAGAGTTGATAAAGCCAAAAAGAGGAGTTTTGATAGTTTTAGGCTGGGGAAGACTTAATCATATTTGCAGGCTAAAAGGGAAAAGCCAGAGGAAGGAACTGAAGACAGAAGAGTGAGAGGGGTTGCTAAGTAAGAGCCTGGGGGAGAATGAGCGCTGGTACTGATGGGTGCAGTAAGAGCATATGAGTTAGCATAAAAACTCTAAAGGGGTAACTAC